TCTCCTCTTCACATGACCTCCTCCAAGTCACACTTGCACTGACCACCAACTCACTGCTTCCCATTCGTGTTCCTCTAGAGTGATGGCCTAGCGTGTGATGCCACTTGATGGTTTTTTGAGAGTATGGCCAATCCACCTCCATTTCTTCCTACCTATTTGTTTCACAATCGATTCCCGGTTGGTTTGCTCCCAGAGATCCCTGTTGTTGATCTTTTCTGGCCGGCCATCTGATCTTGGGTATTGAGCGAAGACAACTGTTAATGAAGCTCTGTAGTTTGTTTGAGATGCTCTATATGACGCGCAGTGCAAATCTCTGATCCGTATAGTAGCACTGACTTTACATTGGAGTTGAAAATCCGGATCTTATTTTTGATGCTGAGTGCTGCTGACCTCCTCACAGACTTGAGAGCAGTGAAAGCTTGTCTTGCTTTTCCGATTCTTCCAGTCTACTGCAATTGGGAAAATCATTGGCGATAGTAGGCAGCCTTGTCTTACTCCCGCCTTCACTTCCAAAGATTCCGTGAGTTTCCCGTTGTGGATTAATCGGCATGCATCATTGTCGTGCAACTGTTGGATGAAATGTATAATTGTCAGTGACACCCCGTAGTAGCGAAGTAGTTTCCAAATCACCTCTCGATCCACGCTGCGCTGTCGAAGGCCTTTTCAAAGTCGCTGAAGTTGAGATGGAGAGGTGACTGCCATTCCAAGCTTTGTTCAGTGATGATCCGTAATGTGGCGATTTGATCAATGCATGACTTGTTTCTCCTGAATCCAGACTGTTCCGGTCGAAGTTTTTCATCCAGGTTGGCATGTTTGATTCTCTCCAGGATGAGGTGGCTTAGTATTTTGCTTGGGATGGACAGGAGCATAATTCCGCGCCAGTTCTTGCATTGACTTAGGTCTCCTTTCTTTGGTAGTTTGAATAAGTATCCTTTCTTCCAATCCTCGGGTACTTCGCCTTCTTTCCACACCTTCCCCAGTAGTGACGTCATCAAGCCTGCTGCTGTCTCTGGGTCCATTTTCAATGCTTCTGCTGGTATTCCATTTGGTCCTGCTGCTTTTCCAGCTTTTAGCGTCTTGATACGTTTAGAATAACAATTTGCACATAGCTTCGGCATTGTCCTCCATTGTTTTTCTTTTATGTTTTCTGTGTTGTTTCACAAGCATGGTTCATCAAATCCATCTGTTGGCCATAGTATATTAGGTCTCCTGTTCTCACCATTTATGGGTTCTGGGGATTCTATTTGCTCTTAAATTCATTTAGGAATATGCTCTGAAGCCAGTCCTTACTTGTAGAGATCAATGAGTCCTCCCTATGTATGCGTGTCGACACGTACATTCGAATTAGTAAATACAGTGTGATGTGACATCATTTTTCTCGGGTTCTGAAGGCTTAGATGGACATATTGACTTCACAATCTCATTTATTATGATCTTAACTGCGTAATAAGTCTTCTTAACCGCAGCGGTCAACCGCTGTCGAGTTACCAAGCTGCTATGATTATCTATATAGGGTAGCTTGATATACACGTCTTTCTTAGTGGCGAGTTGGAGAGTGGGTTTTGGTGTTCTGACTACTTTATATCTCTTAATGGATTTGTCTGGATAATTATTATCAAACAGAGTTTGTGTCAACTTTCTTTCTTCCTCATCAAGTGTGTCATCAGTGCATATTCGTTGGATTTTACTGAAGAAGCACCTTACTAAGGCTCTTTTGAACCGAACAGGGCAGAAACTGTGATAATTAAGATACCATCCCGTCCAGGTAGGCTTCAGAAGCAAACAGAATCCCCAGAACCCATTAATGGTGAGAACAGGAGACCTAACTCCTCTATTGTGAGACATATTATAGAGAGGGGACATAAAATTCATGTTTATACGTCTTTTAAATCTATCTATGGAACGTGTTTGGGGCACATCCTGAAGTTTGTGGAAGCCTAAGCAATTAAGAAAATTAAACCACCTTTACACTTTCAAAAACAATTCGTCATCACCCTAAACCTTCCTTGGTAAACTTTGTTTTGATCCCAGGGTGGATGTACTATTACCTCTCTTATTTGGTTCAATGATATTCATTGTTATTTTCACCTTCAGTATGCCCTTTTAACTTGAGCTAAGTCTGTTTTCTCACCTCTTAACTCTTTGTTAATTTCATGCATATTCCAATGACAAGTCTGTATGCGATCAAACTGTTCAAAATGTGTTGCGCAAAATACATTATACGATTCGGAAAAATTACGTCTTCTTATTGCTTTGTCTAAATTCATAAAGGGAACTAATTGTCTTAAATTCTTATAATGTTGCGTGACGTTTTTCATAACCCACTAACCTTCTTGACTCTACATCCCCTTCTAAGAGTTATACTTGACAAAAGCTATTTTAAAGAGTACACAACACATTTTTTCTTTTGTTGTTGCAATTCCCATTATTATTAAAAACCATATAAATATGTAACAGCAGAAGACTAGAGGCTTGTTAACGGACCTTTGTTCAGAAAAAATGAATTATATTAATACATTCTTAGCCATTTAAAGTTCGGCTAGGTTAGAGGAGAATAAATTATCCTGATTGGTTGACATTTGCACTAAGGTTAAACACGTTGTCCAATGAGATTACTTCATGTCCACACCTTAAACTAAATATAGATTTGAGGAATAAATATTTCTATCTGTGCAGCCATTGACTCAAAATATTTTGGGTTTTGGTCACTCCCTATCAATCTTCACCACGCCATAAATATATACGTATACATGACGGAAGGTTATACCTCAAAGTGATCACATAATACTCTACTCGTGAATTTATATATTCTGGGTTAGAGAAGTCAATTGGTTATTGACAACTGTTTCATCTTTATTTAAAATTCTTCCGCAGTACTCACCTGTAACTTTATACAAGGTCGATATTTGGGTGATAAATAAATGGAGTAAATGGTAGGTTGGATGCAATATGTAGAAGTTATAATAGCAGGCCCAAAAATTCAAACAGGCCGCCAAGGCTTTCTGTCAGAAATCAGCCAGTGGTTCACGGAAAACGGTCTTACCCTAAACCCCTCCAAATGCCAAACAGTCAATTTCACCCTTAGGCCTAAATCCGACCTAAACAAACTGGTTAGCTCTCACGAGGTATGCAACATAGACGGCACTGAAATAGAAACCAAGTCGGAAATTAAATAATTAGGCGTCATTCTATCTGCTGATCTCTCCCGGTTGTCTCATATCTTAGCCATTTGTAAGAAAATGTTCCATCTTACCTTCTACATCAAGAAGTTAAACCATTCTGGTATAACCCAACCCTTACTCCTACAATTCGTTAACTCTCGCATTCTGCCTATTATTCTCTATTGTTCCCCCTTAGTTTTTCCAGGGCTACTGAAGAGAGACTATAACATATTACGCAGGATGTTAAAGATTGTCAGCAGAGTAAGCAACGTGCCACTTAACCATCTTGTTAATACTCTGGTTGACAGGCACATGGACTCATGAGAAAAATGGGCTAAATCCATTTGATCTAACTCACACCACCCTCTTCACTCACAACTCTCCCCTTGCATCTCATCAGGTAAAACCAGAAGCCTATACAGAAAACTATATGCTCGTACCAGCAAGTACAAAACTCAACCATACCCTAATTAGCTCGTGTTCTGTGTGATAAAGAAAGCATTAGGCGTGATACCTATAATTCATTAAATAGTCAGTAGTACAACTGGACCTCGTCTTTCCAACTCATATCATTCATAGGTACAACATTTTCTTCCTTTCTTTTCCTTTTCTCTCTCTCTTTTTTCCGTTATGTGCTGCTTTGTCTCTTTCTTCCGCTTACGCCAGTAAATATGACAGCTCCCACTTTTCTAACACTATCAAACACTATTCAGCTTTAGCTTTGCTACCGACATGCCAATGTGTTGTTGTAATAATGAACTGAGATTTCCTTAATCTATGTAGAATTCTATTTACTGATAATGTACTAACTGGATGCAATTTTTTTCTTCACGTTCCTCAGTGGAACATAGGGCTTCAAGCTAGTGGCTTGAAGTTTCTGTAGCAGTGTTTATTTTACAGGATGGGGTTGCTAGCCTCATGCCCAACCTTTCCTCTTCACCAGCATTATTTCTGGCTTAGCGAGGTATGGAGTGCGTCGGCCGAGGATCGAACCCCGGACCATGTGCATGGTCGGCAAGCGTCCCAACCGCTATACCACCGACGCACTGGATGCAATATTGTAGTAAAAACGCTGAGAATTCCATTCTGTATCACATGTACTGTTTTGGAATAAAGCAAATTATTATTATTATTCTCTAACAATGAACACGTTATCTACTACTCAGTCAGCTGGCTGAAATTCGGCAGTCTAAATCTTTTGACTGGTCTTGTTCAGTTTATTAGGCTTTAGAATATCATGTGAACTAAATGTCTGACCATTAACATTTTTCATTAAGTATTACTTCATATAGCCTATTATTAATCCATGAAATTTGAAATAAGCTGGTTATTCAGGCAACCATCTAACAGTAATCAAAAATACGTTTTTTCAGTCTCCTGTTATAACCATCATTAATATTATTGTAATATACTGAAGAGTGAAGATATTCTTGCAAACAATTTACTCTCGTAAAATACCACATTACATAGATTAAGAGATAGTGATGATTGTACAGACTTCACATATGAATTTCAAATTTCCCACAAAGATGATGGTGAAAGATGTGATTAAAAATAAATTGGAATAATTTAAACAAAACAATTAGAGACTGCCAGATTCAAGACTAGTGTATAAGTAAAGTATGTATAAATTCATCTGAATATGGATATATTATGTGTGTGTTACTTAAATTTACATAATCATAGTCAATTTCTAATTAAGAATAATATATATGTAAATATGTTTCATAAGAAATAGATTCAACTTTTAACGAAAATAGTAATAAGGTCTGTCTTCCGTTCATATTGGACTTAAGTTGCGTATGGTTTCTAGATTTATTCAAGTGATTGCGATTAATTTCAGGTTGAAAGTGAAAATCGTAGATACTGAAGTTTGAAAGAAAAAGGGAAAATGTAGAAATTTACGATCAGTTAATTAGGAGTAACTTAATCTGAATAACAATATGCTCTGAAAAGTATATCAGTAGTATGTATACGTACACATTATTGCAAAAATTTGCGGGATGACAAATTTAACTGAGAAGAAAGCTAGGGAATGAATAAAAGTCTTTAAATAATGCATAAAATTTCTAAAAGCCTTTTATCATTCCTTTAAGTTCCGAATGGGAAATATGGCCTGAAGCAACGAATTTCCAGTAGAAGTGGTATGGTTTTCGCAGGGTTAGACTGCCAACTTCATGACCAACCTTGGCTCTTTTCCGGGTTTATTATAGGCTGGGAAATGAGGAGTTTGTGAGTGCATCGGTTGAGAATTGGACCCAAACAGCATAGAAGGTTGATGAGCATTTAGCCACTGAACCACCAGAATCTAGGATCATTGGGTTATAAGATCAACCTTTTGACAAACCAGCTACTGGGTAAGGCGTTATTCACTGAGCCAGAAAGAACTAAATCACTTTAGGATAATTACCTTTGCTGAGCTATCTGGTTTCCGAATTTTTTGAAAGTCAACTGTTTGCGTTTAGTAGTCATGTATCTGCTATATATATTGAGTAAGTCTGATGACAGATAAACAGTAAAACTGGCTTTTCATATTTTAATTACTGAGCAGAAATGTAATAGTTATAACTGTTTAAACATATTCATGTGATAAGATTGTTTACCTGTCTTTCACTGCCAGAATATATGGAAACATTCGCACTACTTCCAGAAGATTCCCGAAGATTCGTACTTACTGAAATTCACGTTTTTTGTCCTCTGTGAATTGTACCTCTTATTAACAGCCGACCTACTGTCTCAGGTCAATTTTTTTCTGAGCAACAGATGCTTTTAAGAGTGTTTTCATTAAATATTTATTGCTAGACTCTGTAATGAAAGGGACACTATTCTTAATGAATTTTTGTTATGAGGCTTAAAGGTTTCGAATATGTCATCTTGTATCCTCAAGTCTTCAGGCATTCCTCCCGAAGCACTGCAGACGGCCTCAGAGATCACGGCATATGTTCTCACTCCATTACTGCAAAAGGTTTGGATACAAGGAAGAAGAAGCCTGGTTACCTCTTCGAGCTGCTAAAAAAAGGCGACTTACGCCTCACTCTGCAAGAACTGGGATGGAATGATGCTGTTTTCAACGCCAACTAAAATACTAAGTCTCATCAACCTAGAGAGAATAAAAGATGCACTGGATACAGAACTCCGCCCCACCGACTAGAACAAGGTGGATTCAGGAAAAGCGAATCCTTTGCTGATCAAATTGCAACTCTACGCATCGTCGTCACTGAACAAAGCATAGAAAGACAGTCAAATCTCTCTGTACCTCAAATTCATCGACTTCGAAAAGGCCTTTGACAGACAGCACTGACCGAGAAGTTATTTGGAAACTACTTCAACACTACGGCGTGCAGTGCTCAAGTCTTTGTCAACCTCATTCAACAGCTAGCTATATGACAGTGGCACGTGTCAAGTGGTTCACAATGGAAAACTCAGTGAGACGTTTGAAGTACATGCAGGAGTAAGACAAGGCTGGCTGTCTATTATCACCGATTATATTCCTAATTGTGGTGGACTGGATTATACGGAGGACTGTGCGTTGGGAGTGAGAAGACAGGAATACGCTTGGCCACCGATAAGAAGATTCTAGAAGATCTGGATTTCGCGCGTGGATAATATATGTTTCATGTCATACAAACTCAAAGATTTGCATGTGAAAAGCAACAAACCGGCTGGAGAGGCTGGTTGGCAGCGAAGATAGGACTGCAGGTAAACACAGAGAAGACGGAGGTGATGAGGGTAACCAACCAACCAACAACAACAACTAGCACCAGTCACCATCAACTTGAGGAATTTAAAAGAGGTTACCTTCTTCATTTAACCGGCTACGAAGCACCTTTTCAACTACAGGCGGGACTGATGAAGATGTCAGAGCTGGCAAGAATCGGAAAGGCAAGATACGCCTTCATCAATCTGAAAAGGGGTTTGAAAATCTTCTGCACTCGGTCAGCGTAGAGAACAAGATTCGGATTTTCAACACCAATGTGAAGTCAGTCGCTTCTTCTATACGGGTATGAAACTTGCACTGTGCATCACGAAAAGGAATTCCAACGGGTTGCAGATCTTTATCAAAAGCTGCCTTCGTTGGCTCCATACTGACGACCAAATGGCCAGAAAGAATAAGTAACAAGAAACTGTGGGAACAAACCAACCAGCAGTCGATCGCTAAACTAATATATAGTAGAGAATGGAGATTCATCGGGCATACGTTGAGGAGGCCGTTGAATGAAATCGCACTCCAGGATCTCCAGTGGAATTCTAATGGGAAGCGACGAGTGGGTCGTCGGTGCGAGGGTGACATGGAGGCGATCGTGTGGTGAGGAGGAGATGACATATTATAGGAAATAGTGAACCCAGATGAAGAGGACGGCAGAAGATAGGACAAAGTGGAGATGTGTTGTTGAAGCCCCATGTTCCACTCGGAACCCAAGGGAATAATATCAATAATCCATAAGCTATCCAACTGGATATGTATTATTGCTATCGACGATCAATAATTTATTGATTCACATAATCAATTTCAAAAATTCATTTCATTACTAAAATAATATGTATCTTTTTATCGTTTTAATCAGACAAATTTAAATCGATCAAATTTTGGTTAGAAAATACAGTAATAAAAGGAAGTGTACCAAGGCAGTTTGCTTCCCACTTCTTTTTATTATGGAATTCCTCACTGAATGCATGAGGTAGTCGGAGCTGCATTGAAAAGAAGTTCTTTCAAGCCTTGCACCTACCAAACACTTCAACTACGAAACATTATTTCATCCCGTTTCTGTTAATTTGTTGATCACAACTCTTTTTCACAAAAAAAAATATTTCACATATTACGCAACCATTTTATTAACCCTGTATTATTTAGGTGTCTATGACTTTTGTAATTAATTTCCATTTCTTATCGTAATTGCAGATTTTCACACCGAGTTGAGAAAACCATCTCCTTTAAATCTTTTTAATTCCTCTTTGTACGGTTAAACAGCAGTCGTAACTATGCTAATTTTTTGAATGAAAACCTTCTACGTATGTATGTGATTGTACAGCTCTTGAGAATGAAACCTCCGGAAATATATCCACGCCTAAGTTTTTCGCTCCGAGTTACAAACAGTTTAGTTCTAAAGTTAACATTTAACATGGTGATGAAATGTCTAGGATCAAATATCGAAGTTTGTCGAACATTGAGTGATTTCTAGCAATAAATGTTGACATTTTCAAGTGTTATCTCGTAAAAATTTGGTTGCCCTCAAGTTTGATCACAGATTGATATAAGTTAGAAAACCATTGAAAATCTGGGATTACTGTATAGCTGTTTCCTCATTGTTCTGGAATCTTCAGCAGCACGCACTCATGACCTTACGAGACCACCGCGTTGAACATTCAACCACTGGGAAGGAATCCAGTGCCCCATGAGTTCCAAATTCCGTCATTTGGCGATTTTATCTATCATCAACACCAGTCAATATCATCTGCGGATTCTGTCTCACCTAATAACCTGAAGGTCCTGGGTCCGATGCTTGTTGGGGTCATGACTGTGTACCGCTGGAAGATTCCGAAATAGGAAGAAACAGATTTCCAGTACTTCCTGGAATACAATAGTTCTCTAAGTGTTATCTGCCTGTGATTAAAATTGAAATAAATACTTTTTATATGTTAGTCACAAGACACTGGACCGAGATCAGATTATCCGCAATATATATAAAAATAACTTACATCTTCTACAGTAAATACTAATTGATTTTTTTGATTTCTTGGGTGAATACTTGTGACATCAAAACCGTTTCTAAGTCTTGCCATACAATGTAGAAATTCTTCAAAACTTATAGTACACTTCTTTGAATCAATATACCGACATGCTAATGAATGGTAGACTCGATTGCTAACATGATAACCTTCAGGAAAAGGAATGATAACATGTTGTATTAAAATATATAATTAATGAATTGTGCATAATTTACAGAGAAATAAGTGTGTTTTCCCATATTGGAGAACATATTTAGATAAACTTGTGGAATTTCTAATAGTTTTACGGTCTACGTTTGAAATTTGTTGGCAGGAGTCTTGATATCAGACTAGAAACCCTGTTCAGTGCTACTTTGAAAGACTGAGAATTGGATACATAATACACGTGTATTAATAGCTGACTACCTGTGAACCTATAGGAAAACCTATTACAGATTAGAGTATTTTCTTGATGGATCCACTGTGCTTAGGTCGACTTTTCTTGATCATTGAAAACCATAAAAGTTGCGAGTGCATGTTTCCAGATTTCAATATTGACTCGTCATTGTCCAGTCAAACAAAAGTGTTAGTCAAATTTTTATTTATCCTTGCCTGATTAAAAATGTTTGGATTCAGTTGGTCAGAACTATCCCTTTTGTTTAATGCAACAACAAAAAGTTAACAGCATTTACAAGGAATAATGAATTACCACAACAATTCAGTCTGGATCAATAAACCAGTTGTGGAAAATGGAACTAATCAGACATCATTATGCCATACATGACAAAAGAAACTTTTTACGTTTGTTGTACGTTGGTGTTGTACGCCGAAAACACCCAGCTTATAAAATCCAAATCTCAGGGAGCAACAAAATAATAATAATTTTCGGATATTAACTCAATATTTAATCAGTTAGTGCATAAATTGTGTATAAGTTGTCATCCAGTTTTAAGTACTCAAAAAAATCCATTTCTAAGGACTGCTGCCACTTCTCAGTTCAGTCTTGCGTGAAAATCACATAGATCACTATCTGTTCAGAAAAATCTATTAATTTTTTAAGTACACTAGAATTATTCAATTAAATTTTAGATTTTCCCATGGATTGATTGGACCGAAGTGCTTGGTCTCAAGTTGACATGTCGGCTTCTTGTGCGGATGCTTTGACGATGTCTTGGCATGTTATGTTAGAAGTTAACTGGTGGATGGTGACGACTAGCAGTGGAATCCATGATGCGTATTTCGTCCTATTTGGGACTCGTCAACTAGATGTGCCTGCATTCCGCAGTGAGTGATGATGTTCCTACCGAGGCTCGAACTCAGTGTCCATTGTTTCAAACGCCAAAGAGTCATCTACTAGACCGTTTGGGCCACGAGAGACAGCTGTTTCTTGTGCAAAGGGAAAATCTAAAATTGAACTGTATAATTAATATCACCCGTTGCGCAAGAAACAGCTGACTCTCGTGGCCCAAATGGTCTAGCAGATGACGCTTTGGCGTTTGAAACTATGGACACTGAGTTCGAGCCTCGGCAGGAACATCATCACTCACTGGGAATGCAGGTAAATCCAGCTGATCAGGCATAGTTTAAGTCTATACGGGTGTAGACGTGATATCCGACTGTCGATCAAAAGACGCGCAGCAGTTCGCTCCATTATCCTTTATGTCTGTGATATATGGCCATTAAAACTGGAGGACATGAAAATGCCAGCAGTCTTTGATCATAGGCGTCTCTGTGCTATCTCCCGTGTTAAATGGTATAATAGGTTGAGTAGTTATTGAGGTTAGGCATTGAGTGTTAGGTAAGGAGGAGAAATCTAATGATGAGGTTATGAAGCTACATCAGTTGAGATGGCTAAGGCACGTATTAAGTTTGCGTAGCCATCGCCTTCCTTGACGGGCAATCTTGGCTGACAAAGAATTAATCAGGTTGGAATAGAGCTATTGGCGGTCAAAGGAAAACATGGCATCGGCCTATGAGATTTTTAATAGTTAGTTTGATCCACGTAGGGAAGTGTAGACTTCCTGGTTGAGGTTCTCGGGATTCTAAGAACCAATGGCCAGAGACCGTTGATGGTATGGTTCACAGTCGTTCTCAGGGGCGGAGATGCATCTACTCTCTGTGGCCTGCCATATCCTATGTTAATACTCTTTCTTACCTACATTTCTGTTTATTAAATTTCTTCCAAATCTCTTTTTCTCTTCACTCTTCCTTTGTGTGCTTTAAAAAAGGTGGCAACTCGAAGTGCTGCACTTATGTGCAAAGCTCTGTGTTAGAACCAGTCAGTCAAGTCTATACAGATGTATAGTTGTGGTGAATACAATACATTCCATGAGAAATTAAACAATGCTTAGAACCTAAGGTGGAGAGGTTGACTGGTGGTCATGAGATCTCATCATATCTATCGACGACTAATACAACTCATTCTGCAAAAAGATAAGTTGTTTTACCAAACATGACAGAAAGATCAATAATTTTCAATCAATGAAGGAATTAGACTAGTAACTGAATAAATCTCTCACCTGCATCGATCAGCATTTCACGAAGTTTGTAACCTGGAACGTGTCCATGTTTCTGATTTTTATGGAAAATATGCTGTAAATTGAATTCAATCAAAAGGATTGCTATTAATTAAGGTAGATGAGAGTGCCATGTAAATAAATACCTCAAAATACTGGTGCCTAATTAAAACAGTTCATCCACTGGTAGCACCGGTAGTTTCTGGCGATTGACTAACTGATATATCTTCTTTAAAATTGGTTATATAGACTATTTTATACACACCAATAACATTTCTGTATCAGTATTTCTAAAGTATACTTGAATACACTAAAAAGTGGCAATTAGTTTTGTAGTCCGTGAGACTGTCTGAGAAAACTACGGATTAGCAAACTGTTATTTACAAAACAGTGCAGTTCAAACCTAGTTCTGAGCGAAACTCAAACTAACCGACTATGGACGCTTAGTAGTTAACCTAAGAGACGATAGGCTAGGAGTGTTTAGCCTTAGAATTCACTGGAATAAAAAAACCAAAATAGTGAAATATTTGTCAGTGATACACTAAGCTGATATTAATGGAATAAAATTCAGGAAGAATCAGAGTGAATCCTGCAGTGTTATCTGAGATTCTACATTTCGTCAGAAAATCATTAACATTGTTTTTATCAAGCACAATGAGTTAGTGTTTTCTTCTTCATTAGCCTTTCTGAACTTCTAAATAGACAGATGCATTTTGTAGAGACTTCAGCACTGCGTGCAGGCATCTGTCACCCAGATGACCGGTGTTATGAATAAGTGGTTCATTGAATAAACTTTATTAAACCGTGGACAGTCATTATTAGAAGTTTATGTAACAGCCGACTAACCGAACAGAGTGACATTACAGTTTTGGCTTAATTTTATTGTGATAAATTTCTTTTTTCAGCGGCATTTAAAGATAAAGGGAATCGCTGGTGGCGACAAATTCTTCCTTCACTTCTGTCTAAAGAAAATTCAAATTCTGGGAAACCGCCGCCGCCAAATTTAATCTCATAGGGTCTACTGATAACAGTGAAATAGACGATAGTTTCGTTTGACTGGGCATCACAGATTACCATTTTTGAAGACATTACCATTTTGTAATATATTTTAATTATTTCATTTCTTTTCTGTAAATATAATTTTCTTCTTTTACTGTATTACGCAACTGCTTATTTACAAAGATTATCTTAAATTACAGTGGAAGTTAATCATCATACCATGTTTCGTAACACTTACCTTCCATGTCTTCATTTGTGCCCACAGGAAAAGAAACTCTTGTAAATCGATACTACCTGTGAGATTTGTCTAACATAAAGAATTGCTTGTTAAGGATAAATGCCAGTCTTGATTTGGCTTCTCATCTTACCACCTCCCCCCTCCAAATATTCATTTTCCTGCTTAGTTATTAGTCTCCTACAGTTATTTCCGGTAACTTTTAACAACACTGCTTCATCCGCATTTCAGTAAATCTTTCAATAATACACCAAGGACACAATGCTGAATCTGCTTTTTGCTATGATGTAGATGTTTTCTATCATAACCACTGTTGGTTACAAATTAAATAAATTGGTCCGGAGTCTCTTCATTTCTGAAACTTTCGCAAAATTACTTCCAATTGTTGAAACAGTGGAAATACACTCGTCGAGTATATTTAAACATTTGAACAGGCCTCCTTTTTTGAGAAAAAACATACTATGGGATTTAGTTTGGTTTTGTCTCTAAAATGATGTGTTGGTGGTTCCGTAGAACAATCCTTGCCAAATGCCCACGTGGTACGGGTTTCAGTTCCCGGTCGACTGGCTCTTAAACCTCTATTAGCCAGTAGTAAACGCAGTAAAGACGGAACGTTGGGCATGAGGCTAGCTACTTCATCCCGTAAGAACAACACCAAGGCTACTGAAACTTCTAAGCTTGAAGTACCACTTTCCAGTTTGAAAATGAATGCAGCATGACTAATTGGGAATTCTCCGTCACCCCTAGATTGATATTATGCGAGTATAAAAAATACTACAAACTATCTCTAGGATTTTTAATCACAGTGGAACTGAGATAGTGTTAAAACTTAAGAACCCACTGAGAGACAAACTTTTTCAAAATCAGGAATCAACCGACTCAAATGCAATGTCTAATTTAATACACCAAACATCAAGCACTTATAAAGGTATTTCCCATATAGGTCAGACCTATTGGTCATTATCAGTTCTGTCATCAGGTCACATGAAACTGGCTGAATGTAGAATAGTAGATTCTAGTGCGATTTGCAATATAGGAATAATTCAGACATTTTAATGCGTTAAAGTGAGACCTGCAAGATTGTGGGACAGAACTACAGCGTTAAAGGCTTATGTGAATACAGAGAAAGAGGAGGATTAACCAGTAAATCTCAAGAAGCTAAATTAGCATTTCACTGAACAACAGCAGAACTCTGATTTGCTCAAGATTTTATTACTATCGTAAATAAAGTAAGGCAAAATAATAAATCTGGATTACCCAAATTATTTTATGAAGCATTCTATATTTACTCATCTCTAAGGGTACGGTGTAAAATGCCATTCCAAATTCTTCTACAGTAATGAAAACCACAAATTAAGTTTAATTTGCTTGTGCTTCCTACCCACTTCACTGATGGAATTAATGCTACACGATTACAAGGTTTATATTTCTTAACTATTATGACTATTTACTTCAGCCAGTAAAGCACTATGATGAAACAACAAGGGGATCAGCTAATTTTTAAAATCTTAGGTGTTCTAAAGAGAAGACTTACATTACTCACTTACAAGGGGGGTGACAAATGTCATTAGTCTAGCCTTTTTTGGCGGTTAGTGAATTCTATCAGTTAAGTCTGCTATGTTACCACCAAGCTTAGCCATAATGCCACTTTGTGAAACATTGAATCACACGTGTTCAAATGGCCATGAGGACATCATTTCCCTCAAATTCTTAGATATACCTTACTGACGGAAGCCAGAAAACATAAGACGGGTTTCCACGGCTTTTCAACAGTTCCCTTCAACTATTTAATAATAAAGAAAAGATATATTACATAAGCAAAGTCGAAAGTGGGCATTTCAGTTGTATACGATTTACGAAATCCTTGATTACTGTAGGAATTCTGTTTTATTCAAAATTCAAACAAATGTCATTTTTCTTCAAGTATTGGTCTGTAGGGATTTGATTGATGGTTACAGGATTTCATCATAAGCTGACATCGGATGGAGAAGAATTGGAAAGCCTGGGTGTGTCAGACAAGTGTTTTGTCCTAGTTTGGGACTCTTCGTCAGTACGCACCCTCCAGAGCCACTGGATCGGGTCCCAGTGACTTAATGGTCTACAAGCCCTCCTTTTAACTAGAAGGTCGTGGGTTCGAGCCCCGGTCGGCGGGTGCGTACAAATGAAGAGTCCCAAACTAGGGAGAAACAGCTGTCTAGTACTCCTTGCAGGTTTTCCAATGGTTCTCTAACCGATGTCAGCTCACGATGAAATCCTGTAACCAAAAATTTTTTATTTTATTCATTTTTCTCACAACAGTACAACTCTTCACACTCTGAAATGAAGTATACAAACAGTTGTGTTGTTCATCCTACAATGTTCAAGTTAAATTGTTTCATTCTTGTTGGTGATCGTCAGTAAGTTTTATTCCTCATCTGTAAAGAATTTCTCCTTTCTCATAGACAGGTTTTTCTCAGGTCTCAGTCAGTCACTAATCTATAGTTTGGTTTGTAAGGGTTAGATATGTTTTTACGAGTTGATCACGGATTGATATCAGTTAGAAAACCCTTGAAAACCAGGGAGTACTGGACAGCTACTGTCATTAATCTGTTTAACGTTATTCTACTTTTGAATGTATCGTCAGCTTATTACCCGAAACATAAAATACTAAATAAAAATAAGCATTAACTGGATTTGAAGAAAAAAACAAACAGCGGTTTAATATTTTCAAAGGATACTGATACTGAAGGTAGTAGTGTTCTGCACAAACTTTCAGTGAATCCATCAAAATCATGCATGCTTTCTGAAAAATAAAATAGTAAAAATTCAATCGATAAAAATACTCGTATAATCCTACAGGAATTGAATATACAACTTAGAAACACGTAAAACTCAGAAGAACATGATAACACAACTGATTAGCATTGACAGTCTAGTATCATTGTATTGTCTGCCGGTAACCTGTGTTCATTACGGGAAATAACACCTATGAGTAATTTCCAACTGTGCTCAGATGTCAGCTAGCACTTTAGGTTGATAATAAGTACCCTTGAGACACATATGAACCGAATCCCATTGGTTAGCTAACTTGTCTTAATATCTAGGCAATCAGAGTGAAATAGTTGGAAGTCCTGAATAATCCACTTCTCGTCCTTGTTAGCATCCGTAATCAAGCCATATTTTCGGGAATGAAGAAATTCATTTTCTCACTGATTTTAAGATTAACCCAACCCTTACTCCTTCATTTCGTTAACTCTTACATCCTGCCTATTATTCTCTATTGTTCCCCCTTAGTTTTTCCCGGGCTACTGAAGAAAGACTATAACATATTACGCAGGATGTTAAAGGTTGTCAGCAGGGTAAGCAACGTGCCACTTAACCAGCTTGTTAATATTCTGGTTGACAGGCACATGGACTCATGTGAAAAATGGGCCAAGTCCATTTTATCTAACTCACACCACCCTCTTCATTCACAACTCTCCCCTTGCATCTCATCAGGCAAAACCAGAAGCCTATATAGAAAACTATATGCTCGCACCAGCAAGTACAAAACTCAACCGTACCCTACTTAGCTCGTGTTCTGTGTGATAAAGAAAGCATTAGGCGTGACACCTATAATTCATTAAATAGTCAGTAGTACAACTAGATCTCGTCTTTCCAACCCATATCATTTATAGGTACAACGTTTTCCTTCTTTTCCTTTTCTTTTTTTCTGCTTGTATTTGTTTCTTCTTCCTTACAAACTCTATTAAAACATTCTCCTTCGTTCTTTTACACTCTATATATCTCGACCCTTTGTTACCGCTTACGCCAGTAAATATGCTAGTATCTACTTTTCTAACACCTTCAAACACTGGTCAATTTTGGCTTTGCTACCGACATGCCAGTATGTTGTTATCAAAACTAACTGAGACTACCCTTAATTTATGTAGAATTTTATTTATTGTTAAAGTACTAACTGGATGCAATACTGTAGTGAAATGCTGAGAATTCCATTCTGTATCACAAGTACTGTTTTGGGTTAGAGCAAATTATTATTATTTATACACAAATAATGTTAGAGATTTAATTTAGATAAGAGATCCTTCAATGAGTCTTATGTAGGACTCCATTATGTATCGGAATCAGTCATTAAAATGTAAGCGATGTAGCTTTCTTGCGCTGTATGTGGTTAGAATTTATCTATCTATAAACTGATGAATTATATATAACATGGGGCTATAGCCAACTGGATTATGAGACTAATAAATCACGACTTTGAAAGCTGCTAATACATGATGGATGTAATTCGTCACCAACTGCAGTAACTTGTATATATTTGCTGAGTAACATTTTATATAACTGATACGATCAATCTGTTGACAAAGATTCATTCTCATAGACTATTTGCCATTATGTTCTTTATATGGTATTTGAACTGCAATCAATTAAGCAGATTCATGGATTTCAGGATAACATTTAGGTCCACTACTATCAGACTGCTTCATGGCAAGCTTGAAGAAAGGTCCATTATAGCCGAGCATCGACAATTTACGACTGTATAAAAGATACGTAGATGACATATTCATTATTTGTGACAACAGTAATGACCCTAATCGACTGCTGCAGATATATAAATGCTGCCACCCAGTAATAAAATTCACTCTTGAAATGGAAAATGGATCAAAAGTTCCCTATATTGATGTAGAACTAACAAGAAGTACTGATGGGACCTTAAGAAGATCGATCGACAGAAAAGCTACTTGGAATGATCAACTAACAAGCTTCTATAGCTGGGTACTCATTCAACAAAAGCGGGAATTAATTAAATCCCTTGCAACCCACATCCGGCGCATCTGTAGTCCCGATGTTCTAGAAACAGAATTAGATCTTTTGAAAGAAATTTTTATCCAAAATGGATACCCACCAAGATTCATTGATAAAAAATATCGAACCAAGCCTTTGGGGAAATGAAAATTCACTTACGCTGAAAAAGGAACTCTACGTGAACTTGGATTTCAATGGAGATTCAGTAAGCGATATTCTCAATAGAGGGATCACATCATCTCTGACAAGAGCACTCTATACAGCAGCGCTAAGGGAAGTGTTCCTCAGTTGCCCACTGATCTGCAGAAGCCTTAAGGACAAGATTCGGCATCTGACCACTTGTATGTGCATACATCAGTTTGCCTGCTGCTGTTGAGCCATGGGGATTCAAGAACACTATCCAGCATGGTTGCAGAAAGGCAACAGTGGTGCTATAACGAGTACGATAACTGAACGCCCGGTTAACACTGACCATTCTATCTCAGCAAATGCCTCCTTCAAAGGAATCTACGGAGTCAAGAATAACCTACCAAAGACAATGCGGTTTCATCTTCTTTGTATTGCTGAAACTTTGACCATTCACACAGGAAAACCGGAGCTGTGCATACAAAAGAGAATTACTCAACCACTTCTATTATCACGGTAACAAATTAGTTGATTTTTGGTGACTTGATTTTGTTTGTTTGCCTGTTGATTGCTTATAATTCTTGTATTCATTTAGAACTCTTACGTAATTTCACATTCTCTACTTTGTTTCTATGTGCATCCTGAGTACAACTCAATCATCAAATTATTCATATTATTACATAACCCCTTTTAAAAAAAGTTTGTGACAGGTCATCACCTTTGCTACTACCCTAGTTTCATGAACACCCAATTTTCTTGACCGTTTTTGTATTATGTAACTCCACCCAAAACTTACTATTTCTCACCTGTTTCGTTAAAATAACCAAAACCAATTGTATTTTCGTTTGACAAGCTTAATGTACACATAAATACAAATTAATCCATATACTTTTGCGATTTTACAGCTAAGAAAATGAATTCGCAGAAAAGAAACTTCGCTGAACTGCGCATTTTGTTTTCATTAATGCCTGGATAGGGATTATTCATGAATTAACACTTGTAATTCACTAAGAATTTCCAACTCGACTTCCGTAGTTTACTGTTGAAAACCATCATAGTTTATCAGTTTAGGCTTGTCCAGCACTTCTGTCAAAGTAGATTTGACAATGTTTAGAAAAGAGGTAAAGTTTCTTTACGAACCTCAAAGTAAATTCAGAGGACGTTATGTCCTAAATTCATTGTGTACAAATTTTGAGTTATCTAAATTACTTATAGGAAACAGAGTTTCACTACTATCTTTGAATAATGTGAATTAACTTGTTTACTTTGATGAATAATGCATCTCAATAAAACACATAAGATTGTTAAGAATACAAATCAACCTAAAGTCAGTATGATTCGGTATATTTTTTGTAACTTTTCCAACAAAGTTAATTTGTATGCGGCTACCAAACAGATTTTTTAGGATGCAATAAGATTCCTTCAAATCAGAACCGTGAACTAAAGCTACTAGGTGTCTGAAATAATTAGGAAAGTAATTTCAGTTTGACTAAGACAAAAGTGAATGCCATCAGGATTTCCGTTTTACTTTCAACTATCACCAGCCAAGACAATCCGAAGTCATCCCAATTCATCTAAACACCAAATATTTTCAGGGTTATGTGTTAATGTCAACTAAAAAGATTGAATTAAACATGGAAACAGAAATATTAATATATCTGATTAGCGATAAGACCGACTTTTACACGATGAGATGAATTCATCCTGTTTCACAATGTTTTTGTGACTGTTGTAAAAGTTTTCTTCACTGCTTTATTCAGACCAAGTGAAAACTATCTTTACTAACCTTTGAGACAGCTGTGATTTAAAATAGTGGATAGGTGTGTAGCATTAATTGTTTTTGTCTCAGCATTGCACAACTGGGCAAATCTTTCTTCCATTGAATAAAGTTCAGACTAAAACAGTGTGAAAATATAGAGACATTTTGTTTCACTATAAATAGAACACGATATAATAAGCGAACTGTATTCTTTCCATTTAAATCTTCTTCAAGCTTTACTCTAATGTAAATATCTTTATGTATACAGAAACATATAAAGATAATTCGTACAATGAAAATAAGGCATACATGTGTAACACAAATATTATTATTATTGTTGTTTCCTTTAATTCCCAGAGGAATATAGGGCTTCAGTCGCACGTCTCCATTGCGTTCGGTTCTCCGCCAACGTTTTCATCTAGCTCCAGTTTGCCCACATGCTTTCATCTCCCCTTCACATGACCTCCTCCATGTCACCCCACCCTCGAAACGACGATCAACTCGCCTCTTTCCATTCGGGTTCCACTCGAGTGATGGCCTGGTGTGTGTTGTCACTTGATGGTTTTCTCAGAGTATTGGCAATCCACCTCCATTTCTTGCTGTATATTTGTTGCACAATTGGTACCTGATGGGTTGGTTCGCTCATTGCCAGAGACCCCTGTTGCTGATCTTTTCTGGCCGGCCATTTGATCTTGGGTAGTGAGCGAATACAGATGTTGATATTGGTCTGTAGTTTGTTCGAAGTGTCCTTCGTGAGGCGCAGTGCAAGTCTCTGATCCGTATAGTAGCACTGACTTCACAGTGAAGTTGAAAATCTGGGTGTTGTTTTTCATGCTGAGTGTTGTTGACCTCCACACAGACTTGACAGTAATGAAAGCTTACCTTGCTTTCCCGATCCTTGCTTTGATATTCCCATCAGTTCCGTGCGCCTGTAGTTGAAAAGATGCTTCCCAGGTAGGTAAAGGAGGTTGCTTCTTTCACATTTCTCCCATTTATGCTTATTGGTGTCTGTCGTTGTTGCTGTTGCTGTCTCTGTTGGCAAGGAGTCGTCATCACCTCTGTTTTCTCTATGTTCACCTGAAGTCCTATCTTCTCTGGATGCTTCTTCTGCCAATTTGTTGCTTTTCACTTGCATATCCTCTAATTTGTGGAAATCAGAAATATATCATTGGCGAAATCCAGATCATCCAAGTCTTTTGTGTGGATCCATTTTATGCCTGTTTCCTCACTACCCAAACCGCTATCTGTCTGTCGCATTATCCAGTTTACTGCAATCAGGAAAATCATTGGATACAGTAGGGAGCCTTGTCTTACTCCCGTCTTCACTCCGAAGGATTCCGCGAGTTTCCCATTGTGGATTACTTGGCATGCAGCGATTTGATCAATAGATAACCTGTTCATCCTGAATCCAGCCTGTTCCAGTCGAAGTTTTTCATCCAGGTTGGCTTATTTGATTCTCTTCAGGATGATTCGGCTTAGTATTTTTTTTGGGATGAACAGGAGCATAATTCCGCGCCAGTTCTTGCATTGACTTAAGTATCCTTTCTCTGGTAGTTTGAATAAGTATCCTTTCTTCCAATCCTCGGGTACCTTGCCCTCTTTCTAGACTTTCTCCAGTAGTGGTGTCACCAAGTCTGTTGATGTCTCTTGGTTCATTTTCAATGCTTCTGGGGGGATTCCATCTGGTCCTGCTGCTTTTCCAGTTTTTAGCGTCTTTATTGCCTTCGGGATTTCTGTTTTCGTCGGAGGGTTGATATCCACTGGCAGTTCAGCTTCCGTTGTTGTTATTATTGGGCGCATTGTAGGTGGCAGTCGATTTAGAAGTCTTTTGAGGTGTGCTTCTAGGTGTCTTTTTCTTTTGAAGTGTCCCCAAAGTGATTATACTTTTTATCGTTCACCAGTGATGTCAGAGACTATGGCTATCCATCTAGACAGGATTATAAATCCCAAATAGCACTTGAGTAGTAATCACTACAGAAATCCAAAAACGATACTGACCACCTAGTTTTTGAAATAAAGCAACCACTGTACAACTGCCGCACATTTGGGTTTACTATGAGTACTTTTCAAAACTTGATTCTTATTCACCAGTTAAGTCCTTATTACACATGTATTTTAGGATCATGTTTTTCATAAGCTGGCTGACTAATATTGATCTTGTGAGTAGTCATCGTAGGTGAACACTATTCAGGCTTTTGTTTTACTATAAATTTATTATCTATTGTACCTACTGTCTGTTCCCTCCAGATTGTAATAATAAGTTGATGATTCCAAATCAGTGTAAATCTCGTTTTCATATATGTCCAATCAGAGAAAAAGAAAAGCAGTGATCTAATTACCTAACAACATTTGTCAAATGTTTGGCTTCCGGCAGCTAGCTACTGTTTTAAGATAATACAGATGGTATGTGTAATACAACATCCCAGACTGCATAGTACCAGTTATCATATCAGCTAGTATTTTTAGACATAAGATTCCTTTACAAACCAATGAACTGCAAAAAGAAAAATTAATAAGACATTTGAAATCACTCTGATAAACCTTAGAAAGTATACTGCTTAACAACTTACTAGCAATGTCGCTTCGAGAGCGTTAATTATCTCCTGTATTGAAGAAAAACAATGAGAGAAAGCCAAAATAAACGAATTTTTAGCAATTTATAATACTTTAAAAACACATGACTCTTTACGTTTACAATTAAAGCATAGTTTAACTATTTTTACTGACAGTCATAGAACTGATGACAAGTTTTGCATAAAGAGGATATTCTTTTTTATTCCTAAAACACTGTGGAATAAAAGCGCTACAAGGCTAATATGAATCCGGCTGAAAACAAACAGAGCATTGTTTTAAAATAAGTAAACGGAATACCGTGGGAAGCTATTTCCCGATATTTGAGTTCTCTTCATCTCTGAGAAGTTATAACTTGCATGAGAGGTAGACATTCGAAATGTTGAATTTTTAGTGAGCAGTTTGTCACTCGAAAACGCTGTTCAGTGACACTGTCAGTACTGAGTTTCGCCTTTTACGAGGGGAAAGGGTAGTGAATGAAAACTGTAGAATAGCAGGAAACTATTAGGCAACTGCGACCCAGTGTTCCTAGATTTTTACCGTTAAACTTTCAAGTGTATAGGTGGTTCAGTGGTAGAATCCTTGAGAATCACACGGAAGATATGGGTTCGATTCCTGGCAGTCACACTTCTCAACCTTCTCTAGTTTACTGGTCAGTAGCAAGTTCGGAAAAGGAGAGAAGGTTGGGTGCTAAGTTAGCATCCCTACCCTGTAAGAAACAATCCCAACGCTGTTAAAACTTCAAAGTTTGAAGACCTATTTTCCACTTGGAAAGTAGAATACTATAAAACTACCAAGTTAGTTTGTTATATCTTGTAAAAATTAAAGTTTGTTTTGGATCGATCAGGTGGTGAAATTTTATAATGAATAAATGACTTGACAAGCCGCACACCACGACAATTATGTAGAATACAGTTCAACGGATTGGAATCTCTGGTTTCACTGTTCGGCTTTCCATGATTTATTTGTTGTAAGGGCAGTAGAAGTTATGGGATATGCGATTCAGCTTCCTATTTCACATATTCGGTGAAAACAAAACTTTCGCTATCAAAATTTCTATCTCTTGTTCAATCGTATTTAAAATTTGTATGCGTTTCTGTTCAGTATCGTAAACAAGACTTTCTCTAAATTACATATTTTATTTAGGCTTCCCAAGCTACATGTTTCCATATTTCTGTGCTTCAATAGCCCTACTGACCCCGACCAAATACTTTCAAATCTTTATAGGTCTATTTCGTATTACTAGTGTTAACCAACATTAAGAAAAACAAAAAGAGGCGACCTTCTTCCTCAAACAAGCAACATGAAGTATGTGCAATGTAGCTTGATTTGCAGCAAACTGGAGTGAAGTTATTTCATAGCAGTTACCACACTTCATGTAATGTTGAAGCGACCAGTCATATCATTAATCACGAATACCGCTCATGTATTGCCATCATAGTTTTGCTCCTAATACGGCCTCCTAGTTTTTTGTAGATGATTCATTATGCTTAACTGGGAAACGTTCTCACTGCTGTTATATCGCAAAATTATCGGGTGTAATTAAAACACACTGCACATTCTGAGATAAAATTCCCTAACAAATCTACAACTTTTAACTTTCCTTTACCCTGATTGATTGTTCATTATCATTTAGGAGTTTGTTATTGGAGTCTACGATGGCTGAACTTCCCTCTGTTTGATGTAAAGACGGAATTTATGCGATAGATATATCAGTCAGCAGTCGTAAACTGAAGTGATTTGGAATTTCGCGCTGTGTTTGAAGCGCAAGCTACTGGGTTTTAGTTTTGGTAGGCACATCGTTACCCGATTGGATGCAAATATTTTCAGAGGAGAAGTCTGACAGGGGGCAATGGCTGATGGATTCCAGTGTCATTTAACATCAACAAAATAATATTAGGCTTATGAGTCTTTACTGTTCAAATATGTAATGAAATTCTGTGATTTATAAAAGCATATACAATTTAAAATGTTTTCATGTGAAACATTTAATTAAGAAAAGAAGTCAACTTGCTTTTGGAATTCCTTCATAAATATTTGTATCATCTAATTCTCTAGAGTAAAAATTGAAATAAAAATAAGGGTACAATAACAAAAAACTTTCATTTTGAAAGAATGTGATAAAATTCATTGGAGAACAAGAAGAAGAAGAAGTTGTCTCCTAGCCTCTTTATATGTTCCTTACTAGAGTGAATGAAATATAAGTATAATGAGCTTGATGTAAGCTGGTGAACTGTGTATTTATGTTTTCAAAAGTTCTACGACATCAACCCATCCTCAATTAAATATAGAAGTGAAAGGAAGTAAATTGATTCAATCTAGAATGTTTCTTTCATGTGACTCTTGCGGAAGCTGTAAAATAGCATATGTACAACTTAAATTTGGTAGTATTGTGGTGAGAGCTAGCTGCAAGCTAAAAATTGTAGACAGAGGTTTAAGTCAATGTTACCTCCGGAATGGGGGTCATGAGAAAAAACAATAACAAAGCTTAATCTCGAGGATCCCATCAACCAATCGCAGCAGACTTAACATGTGCAAATACGATTCGCAGATATGTGGCTTAAATTTCTAAGAAACAGTCACAAGCAGTACAGAACAACCTTCAGCACGAAAACAACAAAACAACAACGCTAATAATATACATAAAAATCTATAAATATCTCTTGACTTCCTGGATAAACGATCTGTTGCCTGGCCCTTATCTTCTGTCGTTACAGTAGTAGTAATGGAAGTAGTGATGAAAAAGTAGTACATAAACATAATTTTACAGCTTGGGAATGAATTACTAAAAGGTTGTGCTTTTCACTCACACCACTTGAGTTTGAGTACAGTCACTCATAAGTTTGAGATACGCACTGTAATTCAACCCAACAACTGAACGTTAGTGGACTTGCCTTACAATCTAAGAGTCGCAGTTCTGATTCGGTACAGACCAGTGGTTATACACTGCTGAGAACTCTAAGTTAAGAAGAGACACTTGTTCATTAAATCCTCGTTTATAACAGTTGTGTAAATGATGTCGGTCTAAAACAAACTCTAGTCTTTGAAGATATATTGATCCCCTACTAATTCAATTTAACACCTAATAATTACCTTTAAAGTGACAACTCCAGTTGGATAAATATCAGCAGATAAATATATGCAGTTACTGTCGTGCAATTTGTTAGTAATACTATCAACTGCCTAGAAGGTTTACCTTCAGCCCTAAATAATTTAGGTCGCAAACGTACTAGACTATCAGAGATGAAGAAGTTAAACCTTATCTATCACTGTTGCAGACGAGTTTTTACTATTGGTTTAATTGTAATAGAATTGGTGCGTAAGTTTAATCTCATCTTGTTTTGTCTGTTAAATGATCATTAAGCGTTTCAAGATTTGTGCAAGACATTGTCCCATTATTATTATAATAAATATTGTAGTTGTTTCCTTGGGTTTTGACTGGAACTTCACTACCATATCTCCATTTCATCCTGTTCTCTGTAATCCTTTTTACTCGACTTCAGGATTGCCTAAAATCTCTCATCTCCTCCTCTCATGATTTCCTCCATGTAACCCTCTGACTCCCAAATCGTAGTTCCCCGTTGAGGTTCCACTCTATGGTCTGGCGCGGGATGTCATTAGACGGTTTCTTTGGCTTCCGTTCAATCCATCTCCATTTTCTTCGGCACGTTTGTTAAGTTATAGGGTGTTAGTGGGTTAATTGTTAGACTTTTTGCTGCTTATCTTTTATCTCTGATTATCTGATCTTCAGTGTTGAGTGAGGGCAGTTGTTCATTAAAGTCTGGAGGCTACTGGAAAGGCTTTCGGTGATGTCCCAAGTCCCTGAATCTTATAAAAGGATTGATTTTACGTTAGTATTGACGATTGACATCTTGTCCCTGATGTTGAGTTTAGCCGATTTCTTCACTGATTTTAAAGGGATAACCCTATATTTGATGTCCTCATCTGTGTGGTCATTAGTTGAAACGACGCTGCATAAATAGGTGGAAGAGATGAATCCCCTGAATTTTCTTCTGTTGATTGTGGTTGGTGAATGTTATTGTTACTATTTGGATATCTTCATCACCTCTGTCTTTTCAATGTCCACTTGAAATTATGTCTCCGTTGTCTGTTTCACCAGCCAGTTTGTTGCTTTTCGCCTGTAAGCCTTCGAGTTTGCATGTCATCAGACACAGATCATCCACGAAGTCCATACCTTGCACAAACTTCTTGTCAGTCCATTGCATGTCTATCTTCTCGTTCCCCACGGTCTATCACACGATCCCGACCACCACAATCTTTCTGTTGTGAAGTATCAACAAGGATGATAAGACTGGATTGTTGTTAAGGTTTTCTGAAGAATCAAAGTATAATTCTAAATATAATTATGTATCATGCCTCGTCGACAGCAATAAGCCTGACAGTCGCAAGATTAAGAAATCAAATTTTTAACATCTCTCCCTAGTTTGAGACTCAACATAAGTACGCACCCACTGGGAGTCAAACCCAGAACTTTCCGGATCCAAGTCAAGTTCGTCGACCATCCAGCAACTAGTACCCGACTCACTAGTCAGTTCATGAATTCTAACTTCTACCATTTCGTGCTTTTAGAGCAACCACTAGCCAATGCCATCGGCGATTATCTGTCCTCACTCATTTCACAATTTCATGGATGTTAACACACTAATGTGAATGGATGTGAGTGATTGAGTAGAAGAGGGATATTATGTTAAAGATATACTCAGCTGTGGTAAGTATATACTTTACATAACTTAGCTCAGGAGATCGTGCATCCATTCATGTTCGTAAAATCTTTTAAAATTTAACGCTATGCTGAATGTCACAACTATCTGTTGTCTCAATATTGCTAGGTTATTCCTTACAAGTAATTTTAAGTTCCCCCTATTTGACTGTCGAGTATCATATGTGTAATACATTCTGTGACTGACATAATATGTAGTGAATTCAATGCTATACCACTGCTTAGAGGTTGTGTTTTGTGACATAATAGTTCTTTATCATGGCTATGAATGTGTCATGCACTACAGTGGATAAAGCATACATTTCGGAGTGAAAGCATGCAGTAAGACATTGTGAGATGTCTTTTGCATTTTTTGCCTCTGTTTTCCCTACCTTCTGATTGGTGATAAGATTGAGTTTCTAGGTCTAAAGTAGATGATTCTTCAGAATAAAATGAATAGAAGAACAACAAAGTTCAGCAAACAGTCTCTTTTCGACGAATTCATTCACTTAGCTGTACAATCGCACGTATATACAATTATTTTGTGAGTGTGTGTGTACATCAGGTTCGCCAAACAAAAATAAAAATTAGTTAGGGTTACTTTTTGCGTCATCAAAATGTTTCAAAAATGTGATGAGTAATCAAAACTGTAACTAGGGAGGATGAAGATTTGTAAGTATTGACAAGGGTTGCGTAATATGAAATTGGATGTTAATGGGGACACGTGTTCGAAATAAGTTATGTAATAGGTAGAAAGAGTAAATAAAAGGTTAGTTAAGAAGACGCTATAGGATGTCATATAAAAATTCAAGAAAAAGCAGAACAAAAGACTCAGGCAATGCAAAGTATACGGAAGTTTACCGTTTTCGGGGGGGTTTCTTTTGACTTTGTAGATGACTCTAAGTGAATTCTCCTTAGAGTGACTAGTGCTGAATACATGTTCAACTATATTACTCCATATTGATCTCCTGTTACCTTTTCGTAGCCAAGCGGGATAATGTTTTTTGACTCTTTTAGATAAAATACGCATCGAGCAACCCATATATCTCGCCCCATATGAGCAAGTAAGTTGGTAGATACACATAGAAATGGTCAGATGCAATATTTTATCTTTGGAGTTGTTGAAGAACTGTGGGCTGTCTGGGAATACCAATCGTAGTGTAGCAGCAGAGCGTGTTAGATATTCTTCTCTTTAAGACGTCGGTTATCTTAGTGACATCTTCTTAACTAACCCTTTATTTACTCTTTCTACCCATTAAATAATTTATTTTGAACACGTGTCCCCATTAACATCTTATTTCATATCACTCAACCCTTGTCAATACTTACAAATCTTCATCCTCCCTAGTTACAATTTTGATTACTCATCACATTTTGGAAACATTTTGATGACGTAAACAGTAACACTAACTGATTTCTATTTTTGTTTGGCGAACCTGATGTACACACACACACACTCACAAAATAATTGTATATAAATGTGATTGTACAGCTAAGTGAATGAATTCGTCGAAAAGAGACTTTTTGCTGAACTTTGTTGTTCCTATATTCATGCTGGATGGGTACTTTCTGTAAAATTAAAAGGACGTGTTCACTTGAAGTCAAAGTATTTATCTGAATGTGTTAGTTTATGTTACATTACTTGACCTTGGTATTAAATTATACTATATTCTTACGTGATGAGCATCCACTGCTTTTCCTATATTTTTTTCAAATCAAGTCCTTCGTGATAATGGAAGATATCAGTTATCTATTTATTTTATTTATTTTGGTTACAGCTTGATGCCACACTGTATTTTCAGTACAAGTATGGCATTTTCAGCATGGATATCGGTAGCCCAAATTTCACAGGCCGACCATAGATATCGGGTGTGCGCCGGCAGGAGATCGAACCTCGGACCATGTGCATGGTCGGCGAGAGTCCTAACCACTGTGCCACAGATCTAAATGCGGGATTTTTTAAGACTGGAAACTCATACTTTTTAATTTTAAAATCTTGTTGTGTGAAAAAAAGTTAATAAACGGTAACTAATATGTCATTCGTAGTCGAAATACAACTTACTGTTGAGTCATTTCACTTGAACTGAATATACGAAATATGAATTCGCATTCTTCATTTGGATGATATGTTGTCGGTATTACTATAAATGATCCAGAGAACAAATGTTCTTCAAGCGTGACTTCACGTCGCGGTATATAGTCTGATGTTGCCAGTGGTTTACGATCTGCTAGCTGATCTAATGTTAAACGTGTTCTTTGATTAGCAGATACCTAAAAGACAAAATAAACTATTTACGAATTGATTCTCCACTTCAATTTCAATGTTTTTACTCTGTAAGTCATTGAAAGAAATGTTTTCATATATAACTTGAATAGAATGTGCTTATCACTAGAAATAATTACCTTAGGAGTCAATATCACATACAGGCTGGATATTTTTGGGCAAGTTGAGTCACACTATTCAGTGATGCACTGTTTTCTAAAGGTGTTTAAACCGATCATTTTACAAGTTGGAATAGCCAGTATGTTATTTCAGAGCAAATGTCAAATATCATGTGTTTTCATGTAATATCAGGAAATTACAGATATCGCAAACTATGTCTCCAGTTGAATGACAGATAGTAAATAACGTGAATAGTCTGGTGCATTGTTTGTTAATCGAAATCCATCCATCACATCTGGAGTAACCTTACTAGGTTAAGCTTTTTGATACTATTGCTAAATGAAATAACACAGTCCATTTGTCACTTAGAGTTATTTCAATAAGAATGTCGTCATTAAGACTTCTGTTAGTTAGTTTGTTTATGATAGTTTTGAAATAATGATGTGTGTCTACATTTCTTATGGTAATATGTTCTTCTATTTTTAAAATTGTTTCATTCAAAAGCTTTTCTTTTCAACGTTAGAATTTTCTCTACTGTCTGACTGAGTTCTGTGCATTAATGGAATGAAATCATAGTCCTATTTATGATACGTCTTACAGTAGCAAAATAGATAACTGTCAGATTCTTACAAGTTTATGATTCCGTTCTTGATTTCAGAATCCACAATAACGTGTAAAAAGAAGGAAAACAGTCAAACAGAATCAGATAAAAAAAGGTCTTAATGTGAAAAATAAATCTTTTGGTTCTATCTTATTCATTTCCTAAAAGGTTATAATGGCCAGTACTTAGTGTGAATTAATAGGTGATTAGCAGTTTGCACATTTCGACGTGAAGCTTCACCACAGTTTCCTTTGGGAACCGAAATTATTCCGGTAACTTCATACAGTCTGCTTTGAACGATAACTCGTCATCAAGCAAACCTTCGTTAATCACACTGTGTACTACTAACTGATTAATATGAGTAGTTAGAGATCATTCAACACCAAACAGTAATGCTTCCCAATCAGATGGGGAGTTATTTAATCACCGGAAGGTTGTTTTAGTCGATTTGGATAGAGTTGGGTGGTTTGAACTGATCCAGTTGTTCAAGTGGAGTGAAAATGGGCACACAGCTAATGAATTCGACCTCAACGGAGTGAAGCGGCCATTTGGTGTTTGGATCACTTTGGTCTGGTAGCAAGCACAACTGGATGATGTGAGTGACGTTTAACTGCCCATGTAAATCAGTCAGTATTATATAGCGCATTACTTAGTGTGGTTAAACGAATGATTTATTGCGAGATCTATTTCTCTCTACAACACAAAATAATTTAGGTGCATTAGATTTGGCAAGTTACTATGTATTTCTCTTCAATGTCTCAATGCATGGATTTAGTCACTTGAAATCAAGAAAATTCCCGTAGATCAACATTTGGAACTCAGTACACTGCTCACTAGTGACTGTAAATAGGTTCTAGTAAAAAGTTATAATAAACAGTGTCTCCCAGGTCGGCTATAAGGACAGTGGCATTAAATATTGTAGATCAGTAGAAGTTGGAATTCATGGGACATTGGAGTCTGTCTTAGTAGCTGAATGGTCACTGAATTCACCTTGTAATCTGAAGGTCTTGGGTTCGACTCCAAAGGGTGGTGTCATGAGTGCATATTTCTGAAGAGTCTTAAGCTAGAAGAAACGTCTGTCCAGTACTTCCTGGCTCTGTCAGTCTTTACGTCATATCAGTTTGCGGTAATAACTGTAATCAGTCAAATCCCTGCAAACTAATATATGAAGATATAATAACATCCCCATAACTTTCCAAATTATGTTCTTAACAAAACTGAAACTTTGAAAAATGATTACATATGATGATTACATTTCCATAGAGTCGAACTATACAATAAGAAATCGCGACCAGTGGGATCCACTCGGTCGGGAATGGGGAGAGATACTTGCCGATAACAGTGGCTGGTGTCATTCGCACTAAAGTCACGAACTAGTGGAAGTTAGAATTCATGGGCCACTGGGTCGGTTTCCAGCGGCTGAATGGTCTACGAACTTGATTAACTCTTCAATGAATATTTCTGAATTTTTAGTTTGTGTGTAATCTAACCATGTAACTAATAGTTTCTTAAGCTGTAACGTTTTCTTAGTCGTCACTTAATCGAAAAAATGCACTAATTTTGTCCCGGTTGAGAATTCTCAACATCCGCGAGTCACACAGGTTCTATCCTGTATTGTTTAAAAGAAGAATATATGTTTTTGAGGCAAAATCATAAGTAAAACTTTATTCATAAATTACAGAATTACCTTATTACTTACCTCATATATTGAAAAACCAATACTCAAATAGTCTCCACCATAATCACGTCTTCTGTGTTTTTGCATAAGTCCCACGATTACAAGTGCTTTGGTTTCATCTTTCCTACTACCACGCCTAATTGTGAATGAAAACTGAGGATTTGTGCTGTAAGATTCTTTTTAAGTAGGACAAAGTAACAAAAAAATTAAACAATTTAATTGAACAGTAATTCTGCTCACATTTTTGATTTGTTGCAGGACACAATAGTATGAATTTGATACAAGGGTCAATTATTTTATTGGCATATTGAAACGGGGCTGTGATATACAACAAATATGAGTGAATATTAATGTCCCGCAACCTAGATTATACGGAAGTGATGGCAGCACAATATTATTTATTATTATTACTGCAACCTTTTGTTCCGAGTGGGACAAAGGGCTTCAGGGGCAAATCTCCATTTCACCTTGTTTTCTGCAACCCTCTGTAGCTCGCTTGATGATTGAAAACAAGCTTTCATTTCCTTCTCCTGCTCACCCGACTCCTCCATTTCAACCTCGGACCGACGTCCAACTCTTCGTTTCCCATCCAGATTGCAATGAAGGGCCTGATGTTTCATGTCACTCAGTGGTCTCCTCTGTATTTTCCTCTGTATATTTATTGAACAATAAGTTCTTGGTTGGTTTGTTGCCAGAGTACCTTGCTGCAAAACAGTATGACACTGGTTAACCCCTAAATACCACTGATGCAATCTGTGATATGTTTAACGAATAAATGTAATGTTTTGTATTCTGTTTCAATCAGAAAAATGTCTGTTTTCATAATCACCAAATAGATTATTTTCAGATCATTACACGTTTTAGCGAGTAGTCAGGATTGGATTGATAATTCAGCGGTCATGATTACTGATCATGTACTCAATATACGATCGAAATTTCCTTACATATGTCTTTATGAACACTAACCAGTAATCATTTTTAATTAAGGAAGACTTCCTATGAATTTTCCCTAAGCCGTTCACCAGCGAGGATAAAATTTGGAAAATACATAGGAAAATATGATCATTTTAGTTTATTATTTCCTGCCACAGTTCACAGTACAACGGAGTCAGAAATTTATGTAGTGCCCTGCTTCCATAAAAAAATAAAATCACTTGTGATGACAACAACCATGATATTTGCGAAATCTGAAAATTTGTGTAAAACCTGATGCTGAATAATTAAAAATATTGCAATCTAGTACAAACATCTCATAATTATTTACTGGATGGAAGGTTCGAACTCGCTAAGATTATAGAGTTTCAGAAGGGTCCACCCAACAAATATGATGAACGTTAGAATTGTGAACCAAAACATGAATGATAAAGTCAAATAACCTCTTCATGAAAGTGATACTTTGAAAATAATATACTTAATTTCTGATCTTTTCTTCATTGTGTACAAAATAATATTTTGCATTGTGTCAGTTTTTAATTTGTATTTTACCTTGTTTTACGCAATTAAAATAACCTACCCATGTTATTCATCGATCCACCGGCATTAACATTTGCACACCATTGACCGGTAAACATAATTTCATTCATTCGTTGTTTCCCTTCAATTTCCTCGTTATATTCTAAACTACTTAGCCCGAGATGGCATACTTCAAGTAGACCAAAATTATCTTCAAAATCCTGAAGTGACATCCTAAAACATTAAACATATAATTAAGAATTAGAAAGAGAAATTAAAAAAAACCAAAGTTTTCAGCGAAACATACGGATTATCAATTCAAGAGGGAAATGGAAATACGGCGGTGTGCCTTAAAATGGTGACGATCGCGCTGTCGCCAGCTTTCATGATATTGTCAACAATAGTCTCGTTAATAGATCTTATTTAAGTTTCCCGCTCGCCTTACAGCAAATATGCCTTAAGTAGGAGATTTATATAACAGTTTCCCTTCATAACTTTCAGCAAATCAGGAATAATAAATTTCATAGAATACCACTGTATCAGATCACTTTCTTTTTAATTGTCTGCTAGCTAAGTAAAACGCCATGACAATTTGTACACAAAGAACGATTATCTGCTTACCTTATTGATAATTTGGAATTTAGTTCCTATATGAATTTGCACTAATTAAGTATTTGTTATCAAAGAGCATATGAACTACACGAAATGTAGTTACTGATCATGTATGCATTTGACACGTAGAGAAAAAAGAGAGGCGTTACATAGGTGCATGTGCAGAATACGAGGGGGAAACTTTCGAAAAGGATTAGCCTTTGTTTGCTGAAATGTCCACTTCTGCTGGAGGAGAAATTACGTAACAAAGTCAGTGCTAAGAATGATGCTTCCATATACATTAAAATATTAGTGCCGAAAGAAATCGGAATTTTATCAGAGCATCCCTAACAATAACTAATAATAATAATAATAATCGCTTTGTTCCAAACAATTATAATAGTCATACAGAATAGAATTTTTAGCGTTTTTGTACTTATTGTAGCAATTTACCTCCTTTTATAAGTATATAAAAATATAAAATGTAGAAAATAATAATAAAACCACAAAAACTGAAAGTTAGTGGAACATAATGAATTACAAATAAGTAATATAATAAATAATACATGTAATAATAATCTTTGCTCATAATTTGCAGTTCATTTACTGATTTAAGAAGTTTATAAGTTCTTTTCTGACATATGACTCTCTACATAAAACCCGTGCTAAATATGATATGGTAGAGTTTTTATGTTTATTTGTACGAGTGTAAATTCTGATGTAACTTTTTCTGATTTTACACGAAAATATACAGTGAGAAGGTTGAGAATGAAGAAGATGTTCAGCATCAGACAAGATAACTTTAGCCAAATGCTTACAAAAATTGAAGTGCCTACTGACAATATTGTCAGTCAGCTGAGTCAAAGCAACACCACTAATCCTACTTACGATCTTCAGTGTTCTACGTAATATGACATAGTCCTTTTTAAGAAGTCTAGCGAAGAATAGCTGCGAAAAATAAAAGAGAGTGGACAGAAAACATGAATTAACAACATATAAGAGAAGAGACTGAGTTATGCCAGAAAGTCTCAACTTCTTTATGTAATAAGTCAAACGAAAAATGTTCTTAGAAATCGACAGGATATGAGACGACCAACGACAAAGATTCGAAGGGGAACTGATGTCGAGGTAAGAGGTATTCGATTTACTCTCCATCACGGTGCCGTCAATATTAGAGGAATCATGCGACTGAATCGGTCCAGGCAAGTCTTGTCCACATCTGAAAATCAACAATTTGATATTTAGATGGATTTAGTTTAAGACAATTTAGCTGAAACCATTTGTTAACTTCAAACAAGAATCCATTCATTTACAAACGATCCAAAGCAGAAACTATCGGGACAAAAATGGTTAGATCATCGGCATATTTAATGAAGTTATCTTTGGAAGAATGTGGAAGGTCATGCAAAAAGAAAGAAAAAGTAATGGAGAGAGTACAGCACCTTGAGACACATCAGATTTCGTTAGCAAAGAAGTGGAATGCTTCCTATTCAAAACTGTATGTTGTTTTCTACCCGAAAAATAAGAAGACCTTGTGACCCATGACTCAGTTTTTACTAGAGTCAAGTTGCTTAGCAAAAGTTCATTAGGAACAGACCCAGAGGAAGCGGTGCAGCCTAGGAAGAGGCTCGTACAAGCTCTTCACCGTTATCAAGACTCGAAACCATATTGTGGTGGAGTGCAACGACAGCATCTAATATGCTTCTACTGCATTTGTAAGCAAAGGGCTTTGGGTCATCAGAAGATTTCAGAGAAGGTTTAAGAACATGCAAGAGAAGTTTCTCCATAGTTCTCGAAAATGGAGACATGATGGAGATTCGCCTAAGCTTTAGATCCTATCCAGAAGATGACTTTGGTACAGGCACCACCTCTATTTCTTTCCAGGCAACAGGTACTATATTCCTTTGAAACGATGCGTTAAAGATTTGAGTAAGAGGGTAACACAAAATATCAGCACACTTCTGAAGTCAAATGCTTGTTACACCAACGGGACCAAGGCTGTGTGATGGATTTAAGGATTTGAAACATCCTTTTCGTCAAAACCAGGGAAACGATCATTTACGCGACTAGAAACATCAGGTCCATCTACATCAGCTTATTGCATCATAAAAGATCTATTTAAGGCATTCACATCAGGATAAGCATCAAGTGAAACTTGTTTTTTGCTTACAGGTTGATTAATTAGTTTTCAAATGCTAGAAACATTGTTAGATGACAAAAAATTTTCATGATATATCTCATTTAGCCTATGTATATCAGACTTTATTTTTCGAACACCAGTATTATCACGTGTTTTATACAAATTCTACAAACACTACAAACATTTACTAGCATAAATGAAACAGTGTGTTGACTTAGATTGCAACCTTGAAAACTAGCGGCTCATAAATGATTTGTAGTGTTTGTCTGACACCATAAATGAGCCACAGGACAAAATCACTGATGAAATCCTCATTTGACTTCGCCCATTTGATTATCATTTGATCGAGCAAAGAGTCAGTAACAACAGTCTGGATACTTTATTTGTTTTTCAATATTAAATACCACCTCATTCTATTAACATTTGTCGACGAATACTGTCGTTGTCAATTTATTCTTACAATAAACTTCATTCACGTCACAGGGGTTATTTACCTTCAAATTCTTGATATAATTCACCAGAAGAGTGGTTAGTTCACAGTTATTTATTTAAATAAGTTTTTCAAATATAGTTAAATATGAACTTACCAAAATTCCCCATCTTCTTTATCCTTGTATCCTAATGCTTTTTTATCTCTAGACTTAACATGCTTCCATTCTTCTGATTTATCTGACCAAGGTCCTTTCCATTCGTGCTTTTCTCCCCAAGGATTACGACAACGCACAATGTATTGGTCTTTGCCCTTATAATTAACCTTTGAAGGGAATAAATAAAGTTAAAATTATGTGCGTTTAATAAACTTTATTAAAATAACACTTTGTAACTGCAGAGTATGTGGCGATAGCCAAGTGGGGTTAAATAATATAAGGAATTATTATTATTTCTCTAAGAGATTGAGAATCTGATAAGAAGTTGTAAAGTCGACAGCTGAAATCATGACAAATAGACAGAATTTTGACAGAATATGACAAACTGAGGGTTACGTTTATTTAGCAGTTGGGAATACGACATATAATATTTATCAGCGCAAGTATTCAAAAAGTATTCTCATCAACAGATATAGATAGAGCAAGATAGCGCAAACTAAAGACAGTCGTCTTATATAGATGTCTAGCTCATTTGCAGTTTACTGGGAGTAATTCAAGCACAATAAGAGTGGTATTACTTAAAATTCCACGAAGGCTTTGAAAGTTTATCGTCTGAACTCCGAATAAAAAAAAGAAATATTATCAATGAATGGTATTTTCTTGCAGTACTAAAGCGAAGATGTGGAGTCCTAAACAATAAATCTGCTCAATTTTTGCTAAATGTCAAAAATGGACACATTGTACATTATTTTTGTTTAATCCACTTCCTTGTCAGCTGTGTATAACTTTGGCGTTCGAATGAAAATATAGGCGCGCTATCCGTCGCTTCGTCTTCTTACTGGTCCATACTGTTTCTTTGTTTCACTAATATCCGTATTTATTTCTTGGGAATTTGCAGGAACATTCTGTCCTCGTCCGACGACTATTCAACAACAGGTTAACAACTTCTACCAGTGGACACGACCTCATTAGTAAAATGGATCTGTGGATTATATTGTTGATTCTTAGCAGTGAACTATAGCTGTATTTTCAAGTAACCCCTAACTTTTTTAGCTCGTTATCTGTATTTTTATAATATACTAACTCGGTGTTCTTTTGTTAACTTGGATTTTTATTCTGATATTTCGTACCGCTATTGAGCTCATTGTTAAGACCCTATAAAACACATGGTTCTTAGATTAAACTTACCTTGATAATTCAATATTGAAACCAAGCGTTGTCTGAATTGAGGATATTTCCTCACTTATTTTTTACTTTTTACCCTCGGCTTTTCCCTTAGATGAGGTAAACTGATTTAGTTTTACCCTTTTATATTCCTAACTTTTGCACAAATGTGTACGACAAGCACTTATGTGATTAGAATGTCCAAAATGGGTTGAGAAAATACATTCTTGTTTTTGAATGATCTTGGTTTTTGACATGTGCACTCAACTTTCAGGAATTATATCCTCAATTTAAATCTCCCTAACTAGCTAGCTAGTTAACTAACCTACTTCAAGTGTTTGTTGATACTTAAAACAGAGGTGGCAATTTTATTTCGGAAGCAGAAAATAGGTTATGTCACAACCGCTGGTCTGGTACACTAACCACTCAACAGGTTGCTGGTCATCTAATGACTTCGCTTTAATCATTTCGCAACATTTGGAGGTTAGATACATTCAACTTAACGCGTCATAATCACATTTGGTGGGACGATTCGGTTAGACAGTGAGATTTTACGACAGGTATTGAATTCTATTTCGTCAGGAAGAGATATCTGGCAGCACGGAATCAGTGCCAATATTAAAGCCCCGGACACATTACATTGGCTGTTAATGTGTAACCAATCAAAGTAAATAACGTGTTTATTTATAAGAGTAACTTACACAGGCGAATCCTGTTAAGCTGTAGGCATGAGATTCAATCAGTCCTAACTGTTCCCTTTTCTTAATACGCTCACCCTATAAATAAATACGCACAAAACAGAGAAGATAAAAATTTGATTAAGTAAATAGGTAGGAGATTAATTGACAGATCTGTTGTTTTTGCCTTCATATTGTCCGAAAGAGATTGTTCATCTTTAAAACAAAACAGTATCATTCAAATTCCTTCTTTTGGAGAGAATTTCAAGCCTAACATGGTTAGTTTTTTATGATGTTCAACTAGTCAAGGCACTTGTATGAATAAATTTTATTTCGGAGTGAAAAATGAATAATTTTAAATTCGTATGACTACCAATTTATCCTTTAAATAACAGAAATGGCAATGTAGTGAAGAGAGTCATGTTTATTACACAGGTTTAAGTTTATCTGCAAACCAAGTTGGTAAATGAATGACATAATTACTCAGCATGCTCCTGCTATACCGTACTATACTACATTTGTTATACTGTGCTATCTAAAACATTTTCTATTCGACTAATTCTTATTTCAAAATGCAAAAGTAACTGGCTCATGAGAAATATCAACTGATTTATAGAAGTGATTGTTTAAATTATTCAGATTTCCGTCAGTTAATGGAAGTCATTAAACTTAAATAAACAATAAAACTTACGTCAACATCACAACCAATAAGACAACATGTTTTTGAATATGTTTGCAACATTTTCAATAAATCTGCTGGGCGACCTTCACCTCTTAAAATGAAAGTTTGACATATCCCTCCAGTGAAGTCCTCCATTGCTTCACTTTGAAATCCACCAGTTAAATGTTCATATGTCCCACAAAGTCTATGCATGACAGTAAAACATCAAGGTAACATTAAGAAGTGTGAACTGTCTAGATAAATATATAAATATCATAACTAACAATTTCAGTTTTCTAAGTGGCTTCCGTCATATATCAACGGCATGTAATAAAACTAAATGGCAGTGGAAAGGTGTTCTGAACACTCTAGTATTGCAATGTCCATGACTTTATACGATGTCTAAGTCAAAATAGAAATTAAACGCAAATGAAGTGGTCGGAATGGACAGAACTCCACCACTTCACTGCAGTTATAAGTCCATGTATTTCTCTGAAGAAAAATGATGCCATTCATGTTTCCTGGTAAATAGGCAGTCTTAAAAAAGAGACATTATAAAATACTCATTCTTCTTATACTAAAATGGTAGTCACTCGGCGTCGGTATACCTGGTAACTTCTAAAATAGGTGGATACCTAGTATCATTAGTGGCTAATTTAAATGCTGAGATAATAAAGCTGAACAAAACAAAATTGAAGCCAGTATACTGTGAGCTTGTAAGACGTCAGCTTTTTGAAATTTATACAACCCAATACGAATTTTCGCTGGGATTGTTTTTCGAAAGGCATGGGATTCAAATGAAAGTGTGTAAAAATGGTTTACTGTATATACTACTGTAGAATTGTAGAACTAGATATGTCACAGTTCACTGTTTGGATGACCTCCGGACGGTTAGCATTCAATTTCAGTTGACACTTTGGTTCCCAACTAATCACATAAAACATAAGTACGTACATGTTAACCTGAGACCAAGAACTTCGGTCCAATCAATCGACTGGAAAATCTAAAATCTAATTAAATAATTAATATGGCCCGTTACACAAGAGGTGGCTCTCGTGGCCCAAGTGGTCTAGTGGATGGTGGTTTGGCGTTTGGAACTATGGGCACTGGGTTTGAGCCTCGGTGGGAACATCATCACTCACTTCAGAATGCAGGCACATCCAGCCGACGAGTCCCAGATAAGACGAAATGCGCATCCTGGATTCCACTGCTAGCCATCACCATCCACCAATTAACTTATATGTATGCACTGTAGAGAATCGTGTTTAAAATCGTAGTTGCACTTGTGGTTCAAAGCAGGTCAGATGCGGTGATATGAACATTTCCAGATTTCATTCTAGTTGGTCTTTTACAGTGTTGCACAGTCTCCGACTGCTTGTAATAATCAAAGTATTATCTCGCAGAAATTTGAATGAAGTAGTTTATAGTACACTGGGGTTGATATTATGCACTCAGATTTCTTATGAAATTCCTTTATTCTGATGTACAGACGACTCAATATTCATATGAATTAGTTATCTAATTTTATAAGAGGAGTTCTGACAAATTGTCGAGTAACTGATAAGCACAATTCTAATGAAACACAAAATATGCGTTCATTGTTCACAGACGAGTTACTTATGAGTACTGTGAATTGTTTAACAACATTGCTTCGAAACCATGCAATATTTCATGGCACATTTTTACGTAGAGTTTGTCATAAACGTGTTTTAAATTTGACCATGGACTGACGTTAGTTAGAGAACCACTGAGGACAAAGGGGTGCTGGACAGCTGTTTCATAGTAGTTTAGGACTCTTCTGCAGTACTCACCCATAATCTCATCGGGGGTTGGACTCAGGACCTAGAGGTTACAAGCGACCTCTTTGACCATTCAGCTGCTGGAACAGAATCCGATGACCCATGAACTATCACTAGTCCAATATCAAACTTGAAACTATTGAAACCCAGAAACAGACACTTGAAAAAATATATAAATTGGTTGTTTCAGTAAAACTCACTTAGCATATGCCTTTTCGAGTAATGACGACCAGAACTCTTTTCCATCTGTCGAATGCATAAATACCAATCGACAAGTTCCCTTGAGAACAGGTAAACGGTCATCAATTACAACGTCTATCCACTGACCAAAACGCCAAAACTGAAAATGAACTGCACCTGAGTAATCTGAACCTTTGAGAGTTTGATTCTGTGGTATGACTTTAAACAAGAGTTGGGGGTACTTTGTAATTGAAGCAACTACTGCGTTAAACCAACAGTCACCTTTACACATGATAGAGAAATCAAAAGAATTTCATTAATTCTATGAGTCACGTAAAAGTGCTGACAAATGAAATATCTTCAGACAGTATATAACTCTTGTGTAAAAATTATATTTGTAAAATCTCAGCGACATTGAAATAAGTAATTCCAGAGTCTAGTTTGGCAAACTGGTCCAAACTTCTTCAGGGAAATTAACTGAAGTTAAGGTAACAAAGTTATATTTATATATTGTCCTTAAAAACTTTGTCCAACCATATGAATCAAGAAATAGGCACCAAAATATAATAAACAAAATTGCATGAAATGTGAATGAAAATTGACCTCAGACTTACAAATACTAGTCTCCTTTTTTAAACACTGCAAACAGAGTGTACTTTCGGATCAAATTTTTAGTGATACGTTCGTCTAAAATATGGTCGTAGATAACTGCAGATGAATTCTCCATATCATAAAATCGCAAAATGAATTACAGGGGTCCTTACGACTGTAAGAGGCTAATTATCAACTTCTGTAAAAATTTCGTTTGATCTAACCATTATGCTAGACACCTTGAACATTAGGGAAAATCTTATGTGCTCAATTGACGTAGAATCTTTACTTACCAATGTTCCACTTTATGAAACTGTTGATTTCATTTGTGATTACATCACAAGCAATAGGATACATTTACCTATTTCTGTCACTTACATTAGAGACATTATCTTAACATGTAGAGAAAATATTAGGTTCACCTTCTAAGAATAGGCATATAAACAAATCGATGATGTTGCGATAGGGAGCCCTCTTGGGCTTCTGTTATCGGATACATTCATGTCGGAATTAGAGAAAAAATGCAAGGTATTCTAGGAAAACTTATGCTATATAAACGTTATGTGGATGATACACATTAATGGTAATAATAATAAGTCTATTGAAAACTTTATTACTCTATTTAATGACGTTCATTCAGATATCCAAGTGACTTTCGAATTCGAATCGAATAACAAACTCAGTTTCTTAGATATTTAAATGACCGCGAGAGACGATGGAACGATTAAGCGATCTATATTTCGTAAGCAGACATGGAGTAGACAATATCTTCATTTCACCAGTTTTGTTCCTATCCAGTATAAATGTTCCCTAGAGAGATGTTTGTTTTCAAGGGCCTGCAAAATATGTATGAGCGACGCATTGATGGATGAACTTTGGCACATACATTCAGTTTTATTAGCTAATGGTTATCCAGAAACTTTATCAATCGTCACAGTAAGGATAGACCACATCTTGAAAAGACAGCTTCTTTACCAAAGTAGGCTATCTTTATTTACTTACAATTCAAGGGGGATCAAATTATGCAGTTGACAGCTCAAAGACTTCGATCAGCCATCAAGAGCATATTCTAAGCCGCATATCTTTCCCTCACATCTCGAACATTTTCAATCCCTGTACCTACGATTGAAGGACAAATTTCTGTGGACTCTACTTCAAACCGTATCTAAAAGTTCACCTGCACTTCCGGTGACACCTATATAGGTAGAACCAATAGAATGTTCCAGTGTTGTCTAAAAGAATATGTTACAAAATGGTTATTAAAATATTTAGAAAATCCCAATGCGAGTAATCTGAATGGAAATCCAGCATCATCCATTGCAAAGCACTTGTTAATGTTAGGTCACAAAATCAATACTAATGACTGCTTCACAATTATTTCACATAACTCTAATTCAAGGTTATTGAAGGTGACGGAAGCACTTTGGATTAAACAGATACCTCCTAAACTATGTGTACAAAAAACAATAGACTTCAACCTTCGTCTATCATGGACCACATGACCTATCTAAATATGATTGGTCATTAGTATGTACTTTTGTTTTATATAACTGGGTAGTTGTCATGCATTTTATTTTATTTTATTACTGTGAGCTATTTTAGTTGTAAAGCGATTGTAAAGAAATTATGAAATGATATGATCTTGCGAAATTTGTCTTCTAAATACCTTGTTCAAAAATATATATGTTTATGACTGTTAATTCAGATGAAAACAGTTCAACATCTGCATATCTAATTTACCAAATCACAGTAAACAAATGAATACATTTTGTAGACAACTCAGTTCCTCGAAGTTCGAAATTCCAATTTATTCGCTTGATACCACGTGTTGAAATTCTTTATTTCTGACGCACGTTTACACGTTTCGAAGCCGCACAACACTAACACCACATTTTTTGTGTATAGTTTCAGCTTAAACGTCTTGACACTACTTGTTATTAAGTTAACTAACAGAGCTTAGAAAACATGAGGTATTTCTTTGCAACTAGTTTGGAGAATGGTAATGTGATTACTTCTTTACCTGATCTTAGTGGCTTACTGGATCTTGGATGTTCACATGTGAGGGGTCTCAAACTAAAACCAAGGTGCTGTCCGTTGCTCAGTGGGGTTCTGTGAGTGACTTTAGTTTGTGACTGCTCCACCCTTAAAATGTTCACTTGCTATGATTCTGTACTGTGCTAGATCAATCAGTAATTGGTAACCAGGTTTACATTTATCTTTTGCTAAATATTGACAGTTTTCTAACATTGTAAAATAGTCTTCATTCACGCATACCTGACTGATATGGGATATACAGCTGAGGTCAGCTTCTAACACTATCAGTTTACACGGATAATCTCGAATGTTCTGTCTTGCAGAAGTCACTGCCACTGGACGAATACAATCTAATCTCTGTATTCAGAAAGATGGTGTAATTAACGACACATTATCCCAGTAGGTGGGGTGTCTGTGTTGCATCACAATCCGTATTTGATTGCTGGCTTTCACTCACTGAGATGAACATATTATTAAACTTTCTAATCTGATTATTTATTTAACTAATAGTTTGCTTTTTCTTACTGTGTCTGTTCCTTTCTATGTACGTTAACTCCTAGCTTCCCCTCATGACCGTCAAATTGTCCATGAAATTAAATGTCAGTAAACTCTAGTTATTTGAACATGTTAATAATGACCAACTTTTATTCATATCACCCGATGTACTGAGGATTATTAACTACCCTTGTAGTTGGATGCCATGAAATAAAGCGAGCTCTATTTATCCTGCCTTCATGTTCGTTATTGCCTTTTATAGTCTACTCAAGAGATACTAGTTTGTATAAATTTTGATCCAATGAACTTAAGTTTGTATTCAATTTGTACTGGTATATACTGTTTGCGATAATGAATACGAAAACCTTCTAAGTAATGACAAGAAGTACCTTACAACAACTAAGGCCTACTATGTTTCTGACTGTACAAGTTACTTGTTACTATTACAGAAGAGAAACTTTTATATTTTTGTGAAATTAGTTACAATTTCACTGGTATTTATTTGGTATCCACATTGCTAGATCTGCCAAACACGTCATAAGAATAGGAGGTAGGTTGGTGCTTACCGTGAAACGCTGGTTTTGTCAAACTGTCATATATGAGGGCTTACATATTGAAGGTGAATGATTCATTGACTACACTTGTAAATTGTAGGTTTGGTGGGAAAATCGAATGAAACATAATAGCTCTTCAGGACGAGTACTATATAAGTTATGGCTAAAACAATTCTACTTCCCTTTTGTATCCGCCTACCTGAATAAGTAGAACGGAGGTGGTAAATTCCTTTTGAATTTCTACAAGTAGTTGGCCCTATGTGGTAATTATTACGTGCTTAGAGGAATACTATATAAGATGTTACGTTTGGCTGTTTTAAAGTGTCTTATTTACTTTTTTCTACACAGCATTTGTTACACTATACTCAGAAACACCTTGAGATTACTTTTATCCTCACAAAGCTCTTCCAACCAATGGTTATAACATTTGGAGCTACAAGAGTTCAGAAACAGGACTTGTAAATATTTCACTGAATACAATCAACCTTTTATTTCTTGTAATAACGCAGGGATCTTACCAAGATATCCTTGATCGACATCAAAACGACTTGGAGAACCTGTAAAAAATTGTGCATCACGGTTGATATCCTGTAATTAAAAGAGTACAGTAAGCTTTTACAAGATAACTGAAAATGGGATATTACTATAGTTAATTTTGAAAATGTTGCTTTTAAAAGTATAGAATAATTCAGACATAATTTCACAGAGATTAAAATAAGAAAGTGGTAGTGATGTCCAGCCTAAACACAAACATATTCTAAATTACGTTGGAAGCAAAATTTGTCTTTTGCAATTCTTCTTTTGTTGAATTTATACTACCAACTATTAGTAAGTAGTATGAATTTATCACTTCTTAACTGCAACTTTGTTTGCTGTTGAAGCTTAACTCAGTGTGTTTATACCCTATTTCCTGTATGTGCCTTTTTAGGTACTCTTCGCTGTTGAACACTGTTTATTTGTATCCCTTTATTCTGTATCTGGAGTCCTTGGGCTGTTTAAATCTACACGTGGATCACCTTTGACACAGCTCTGCTGTTTTTGTTATTGACGCACACTGACTACACTTTTGATGGCAATCTCACAATTTGAGATTTGTATATTATATTTCATGATGTTATGTTTAATATAGTACCGTATTTTAGAAAAATTCCGTGCTTTTTTTCATTTTACGCGTCACTCTACTTGTGGTTTGAATACTGGTTTGGATTATCGTCCCGGATTTCGTGGAAAAAATTCACATAGTGAAATTTCAGAGCATCTAATGTCGACAATAAATACAGACAAATTATAGCGACCAGTGGCATAGTTTCAGGATAAATTTTAGTTAAGAAACAGGTAAATTGTGGTTTGATCGGTGATCAACTAGATAGAGTTCATACGTCCATCCAAATTGTCAATATATCCACGATTGTATTTTCGTGAAGGACTTTTTATATATGAACAGCCTTCAGTTTATCAGAAGTATACCATTATGGATGTTTTCATTTTATCTTTGGCAATTATTCACATAAGTATAGTTCAAATTTCATGAATACTTGAGTTAATTCTCCCCTGTATAACACTATCGCCTAATATCCCAGTGTTTATAAGTTACTTTACATCTCGTTTATTTGGCATAAATTCAGAAGGATGTTAAATATAAATTTTACCTTTATTTCCTAGAGTGAGTAACATCTTTTTGTTTACCTACGGTTTACCGTTATTCAGAGAAAAATCTACATTGATGGTACTACCAGTGAAATGCTCATTAGTTGCCACATAGTTAGGTTAAAGGGAGATTTATACATAGTTTTGTCATCGAACATTCAACGAAAGATTATTAGATCATAATTATTATATCCTTTAATTCCTAGAGGAACATAGGGCTTCAGCCGTGCGTCTCCATTGCGTTCGGTTCTCTGCTAGAGTCTTCACCTGGCTCCATGTCTGCCCACACGTTTTCATCTCCTCTTCACATGACCTCCTCCAAGTCACCCACCCTCGCACTGACGACCAACTCGCTGCTTCCCTTTCGGGTTCCACTCGAGCAATGGCTTGTCTAGTGATGTCACTTGATGGTTTCCTCAGAGTATGGCCTGCCAATTCATCTCCATTTCTTCCTGCTTATTTGTTTCACAATTGGTTCCTGCTAGATTGGTTCGCTCATTGCCAGAGATCTCTGTTGCTGATCTTTTCTGGCCGGCCATCTGATATTGAGTAGTGAGCGAAGACAACTGTTAATGAAGGTCTGTAGTTTGTTCGAAGTGCTCGTCGTGACGTGCCAAGGCTCTGATCCGTATAGTAGCACTGACTGACTTTACATTGGAGTTGAAAATTCGAACCTTATTTTTGATGCCGAGTGCTGTTGACCTCCACACAGACTTGAGAGTAGTGAAAGCTTGTCTTGCTTTTCCGATTCTTGCTTTGATTTCCTCGTCAGTTCCGCCTGTAGTTGAAACGATGCTTCCCAATTAGGTGGTAGAGGAGGTTGTTTCTTTTAGGTTCCTCGCATTTATGCTGATCGTTGTCTGTTGTTGTTGCTGTTGGTGGTGTTGGCCAGGAATCTTCATCACCTCTGTTTTATCTATGTTCACCTGAAGTCCTATCTTTGATGCTTCTTCTGCTAACTTGTTGCTTTTCGCTTGCATATCTTCCAGTTTGTGGGAAATCTGACATATATCACAACTCTAAAAGCAGTGAATGGCTGGATAACCCTATTCCTCTACTCTTCATGACTCACAATACAAGTAGACAACAGCGATAATGAAATTTATTGCTTAGGGTGAATGTGAAATAAAATTTCGTTGGCGGGTTTTCCAGCCAATTTTTCCCAGCTTTCAAAGATTACTTTTGTCTTCTAAATGTCTGAATGAATATTAGGGAATAGTTGTTAAGGGTGCTTGAGATAATTCCTCAAACTTTTTGAGTCACTTTCATTCATTTACTTTTTTTACTAATTTATCCACTCCTCTTTCAAACTTCAAGAGCTGAGGTTTAGCTACTCTAACATAACAGTCCTCAGGAAAACGTTTAGACTAACCAAGTCAATAATGAACTAATAAAAACGTAAATACAAATTCCAAAATCTTTCTTTTTGATTATTTCATTCACACACAGAGAATATTTTATTTGGAATTATAATGAAAGGGTGATAAACTTTCTTTTCATCAATTCTGACTGTGGATATCGTTTCTACTGAAAATAATAATAATCTTCTGGAATCATTTGTACCTATCCATGGTATTTTCAAAGAGTTATGCTCATAGTGTAAGGGCATTTGACTGTAAAAAAACTTCGGTATATCTAAGATACTTCGAAAAGCGTATCCCTTTAGTTGAATGTCAGTCATACAAAGCGGATGGCCCAAGTTTTGACTATTATCCTACCGCAGCTGTCCTAAGAAACTAAACAATACCGTTTTTATCGAAGTTATTTCGAATTTCCTGTTAGCTGACTACACTGAACAGAAACACTGAGTCCTCGCTGACATGTTTAAAATAACCAATCATCTAGAAATTCAAAATAAATCCAGCAAATAACGACTGAGGTCCATGACACAACAGATGGCTCTCGTAGCTCCTCAGTAAGAGAGTGGATAACACTTTGGTATTTTAAACGGCAAGAGCTAAATTCAACTCTCACTGTGAACAATATCATTCATTGGGAAGCATGTATATTCAGCTAAGGAGTCTCAAAATAGGAGGGAAATCCGGTCCTTGTACCCACCATAAGCCAATAATTACACCTTTCATAGTCTTTCTACCATAGAACTTTATAAAACCTAATTGTAGAATAATGCAACTGGCTATTTAGAGTTGATTACAATTACATCAAAGTTATTACTTAAGTGCACTGAATTTTATATTGATACAGGGTAGGATTATCTTTAAAAAAATATTACTAAAAAATATAACTTCTCCATCAATTCTATTTATGATCAAAAAGATATTTAAATATAATTAATTCAGTATAAGCCTTTGTTAGTGAATTAAACTAACATTTTGTCTACAAGTTCTTTTCTTTGATGATTATTTACTTTCTTTGTGTTCATCTATAACCACAACTGTATTTTTTATTAGCTTAGAAATATAATAGCGAAATAGAAACATATATGGAGTGATTGAAGAAATAGTAGAATTATTGATTCATTTCATCATATTACAAAAGAAAAGATGAGTATTTACCTTTGGTCTTTTCCATTCTACCTTGCCTTTGAGGTCAGGTATATTTCCAATGGAAATATCACTTGCAGGGAAATCTGGATCTTCGTAAAGTTGTTTCGTCTCGCGAACTGTACGTACAACTATTTCGTATTCAATACTTTTAAAACTTCTCATTCTTGTTGGCTAAAAGAATTTCGAGAAAAATTTAAAAAATGAACTGATGGTTTTAATCATTATTGATGCAAAGCTTTTAAAAATGTTTGTGTATAAGTTTAATTCCAAAATTGAAAACGTCAGTGGTGGGGAATGTTGAACAGTTCTTTTTTTGTTCGAAATGGTCTCCATTTAGCGGGAAACAAAAAGGCTGTCATCGCTTAATTGTGTACTGGTTTGTAGAAGATTGGAGAAATACAATCAGAAGTATTCTTGTATATTATGTGAACGTTTATTTACAAACTTTAGCACTATTTAACCACTGCAAATCTGTTTGGTAATCGGTTGAAGAATAAAGAATCGTCTTGCCCAACCGTTTTCTGTTGTTCGGAGTGAGTTACAGTGCATAATATTCTACGTATTAGGCTTAGTCTTCTGAAACCAGTGATAGGTTCAAAATCTCTTCAATCTGGATATTTGACAGAAAGTGTGACAGATATTCAGCAAAGTTGATATGATTGGTTCTGATAAAAAAGAAGGCATGTTTCCGGCGATAGTCGAAGAAGAGATATTTTTGTTGAACTTCTTGTTTTTACTGTCGTCTAATATTATGGTGGGTATTTCCCACCCTTTAAATATCCGATGTCCAGCGTTGGACACTACACAAGTGATAATGTCACATCCTATGTCATTTGACACACTCTTAGAGAGAAGTAACCACACCTCGCACGTGAGGGTGGGGTTAAGTATAACTAAATGACTCGAAGAACAACTGACAAATCAGTTCAACCCCACCCACTCCGAATTCTGAACTACATCGATCTGGCTAGCTGACACTATTAGTTAGTGTGATTTGTATCCAACTACTCATTTAGCCAATCAGTAGCATATGCGATTGTGTCAAAACAGCTTTCAAGTTTATATGTAAAAATGACAGGGTAGTATTCTTGAATATACTGAGTTCATAGCCATTCGCAAAATTAATCCCTCCCAGCTTCTGTCGCGTGCACAAAAGAATTCATTGTTACCCTTAATCTACCTTCTTAACCCTTTTTCTGTATTAATTGTACTAACAAGTGAATTTGTGACCAGACACTTTGAAATGTGTCGCCCACATACATCACATTTCTTCAGAGAAACTCTGAAGTATCCAGATTCACTCAGCAAATAATTGTTTCAAATCTTTATTAGTGTTCTTTTGAATCTTTTTATTTTCCCTATTGTGTCTTATTCATTATTTATATTCTCACCAACCTAGTTGTTTAAAGAACCAGGTATTTGTTACTACCAGTAATTTTATTAGTGTTATTATTGTTATTTATTTTATCTTTATTTTTCAACCAATATCTGATTGATTTCGATGTAGGTTTCTTTACGAGCTAACGTCCTACGTGACTTGCCTTATTCTGATGAAGCCAATTTTGTTAAGTATGCAGAGGATCTAATTGCTTCCATACGGGTTATTTCTCAATTAAATTGTTTATAGAGGAATAGCTTTTTGTCAGAAGTTAGTCAGTGGTCACTGTCAAATGGTCTAGAGCTAAATACATCCAAATGTTACGTTGTTAATTTCACTTTCAGACACAGGAATGACTTGCATGAACTAGTTCGCTCCCATGATTCTTTTATTATAAATGTCATTGAAATTAAAACTAAGCCGAATGTTAAATACCTCAGATTATGTGTATTTCCTCTGATCTTTCATGGTCTTTAAACATCATATCAGCTTGTAGAAAGATTTTTCGCTTAATTTTCTATATAAGGAAGTTAAGATATTCTGGCATCAGTCACTTTCCACTTTTACAGTTAGTTAATTCTTGTATTCTACCCGGCTAAATCTTTACTGGGTTACTTCAGAAAGGACAGTGTTACATTGCGAAGGTCACTAAAAGTTGTCACCAGGGCGAGTGGGCTAACGTTAATACTATTGTAGACAGACACTTGAACTCATGCAAGATATTAGAAAATAGTATCTTGTCGGAATCTGTGCATCTTCTCTATATACACCTTTCTGCTTACATCACATCAGGTAAGACTGGAAGCTATTATAAAACACTTTATGCTCGGATAAGCAAGTAGAAACAACTCTAAAATACCTTACTTGACACGCATTTTATGCGGTGAGAAAAGTGTAAGGCATGAAACTACTAAGTTAATGCGAAACACTAAATAAACGACCATTTTATTCTTACTTTCATGAATATAATTTTGTTACTATATCTACCTAATTTCAGTTTGACATTCGTATTCTTACTGACATTGTTATCAATGTAAATGCCCTGTTAATTATTTCCCCTCGTACTATGTAATGTAAAAAGAAAATTGCATGCAATATTGTGCTGTACTACATGCTGAAAATTCCACTTTATATCAAAAGTACTGTTTGGAATAGAAACATTTTTATTTTGAAAAACCACTAAGGTCTAAAAATTCCTGTCTGAGAATGGATTGCACAACAGTTGGTGTATGATGAATTGAGAAAAATTAAACTCCAAACTTTTGAGGGAATAGTCATGTGCTTAATTCGCAAACTGGAAGTAGTTGGCTAGACCCTGATAGTGGCTGTAGGTCCATACTGTCAAAGAGTTCTAAACTGAGAAGGACCAACTGTTCATGGCTCCTTTCATGCTGCAGTTTCTTAGATATTGTGGTTTCTTGGAAAACTTTACAGTGGTAACATTTGGATTCTTATGTACTATTGCATTGTTACCTAGATTCTTGACGGTGGTCTGCTTAAACCTTGAACAACCAAAATTCTCCATCACTTATAAAGAAATAATAATATTTATTTCTTTAGTCATTATTCAAACTCATTAATATTCAATCCTTTCAGTTCCCACAACTGATTTCTTCACTACTACTATTATTATTATGCTTTGTTTGCCGATCCCTAACCTATTTTGATTACTAGTTAATTGGTGGATGGTGACTAGTAGTGAAATCGTGGATGCACATTTCGTCCCATTCGTGGCTCGTCACCTGGATGTACCTGCACTCCGTAGTAAGTTATGATGTTCTTACTTACTATGTTTTTTATTTCTTTACGTTCCCAGTGGAACATAGGGCCTCAAGCTAGAGGCCTGAAGTTTGAGTAGGAGTGGTGTTTATTTTTACGGGATGGGGTTGCTATCCTCATGCCATCCTTTCATCTTTACCAGTCTTATTACTGGTTTAGTGAGGTGTGGGAGTGCGTCAGCCGAAGATCGAACCCCACACCACATGAGGCGTGGTTGGCGAGCATTCTACAGCTGTGCCACTGACGCACTTACTATGTTTGCTACTAAATACTCTGTTGAAAATTCATTGTTCTGTTTCCAGTTCCCACTATCTGTCTCTGGACGCTACTCACAATTATATAATTGTTTAAATTCCTCTCACTGTGTTGCCACACTTCATGTACATATCTGTATATTAATTACAATACTAACAATTTTATTCTAAACAATACTTTTACAAAAAGCACATAATTCCCAGGGTACTTTATCACAAAATCTTAACCCCTAGTATAAAATATTAGAGAACAAATACGGTTGGTAAAATCGCCTGACGAAATTCTGTTCACTCTAACACATGCAGTGACTTTCCACTATACTTAAAACTACCAGTATCCCCTGGTATCTAATGTTTCTCTAACTGATATCAATCCCTGATCAACCTTTAAACCAGAGAAATCCCCGCAAATTAAGGCTTGAAAACCCTTTAAAAATAAACAATTATAGATAACCACTCAAGGTAGTAATTAAATCATTAAAATATACCGAATGGAATACTAGTTGACCCAGTTAGTAAGACAAGTCACTGATCTGTAAATATAAGTGCGTATGCGTGTGTGTGTAATCCTTTATTATACAGTTAGTATACAAAATCTCATGTGTTGAATAAGAGGCTGTTGAGTTGTACTGAGTTTTATGAATTCATTAAGTCCTACACAAAAGAAACCTTTCTACTTACGATATTTAAAAACAAAAGTTTTCATCCCTTAGGTACTAGTTTCATAACAAATTTTAACAATCAAATGCGATAGCATGTTACTGGTAATAAAAGTAACTTACATTTGGATATAAAATTTTATTCTCTGGTGAATGCCCACTGCTATTCTTGCACATATGATCCGATTTCTTATGATTGAATAACTCTTTAAAGACTTGAACTGAAGTAGAACCATTCTCTTGTATAGGTTTCTGTATATTTGGAGATGTAAGTTTCGCTTCTAGCTGGAATAGCAAAAAAAGTAGTCATAAGAAGATTCAACAATAATAAGCATTTATGTATAACGGAGTGTAATCATAGAAATGATAAAAGGAACTATGAGAGCTGGTATTACTATCATTCATTTGTGTTTCAAAACAGACAGACAACTATCTGATGGATAATTAAAATTATTCCATGATAGAGTAAAGTTGGCTCCCACTATCTAAATGGCCTGCGAGACCGCTTTTCAAGCGTAAAGTCCTGGATTCGAACCACACTGGGTGCGTACTGCTGGGCGATTCTAAACTAGGACTAGGCGGCCGTCTAGTTTTACAGTGGTTCTATAACTTATGTCAGCTCATCATCAAACCTGTAAATTCATTTCAAGTGAAACATGAGAAAAGAGTAACACTTGTATTCTTTTGAACAAAACTTTTGGTGAAGATTGCTGAATTCATTATTTCGCTGTAAAGTATTTTATCGCTTCCAAATAACGGATGGCATTTTTGAAGAGTTTCCCAGGTTTTATCACTGACTAGTCACAAGGGTGTGCCAAGTACCAACTAGTCTAGTGCTACTTACTAAATGATGCTGTAGGCAAAACTTACTGAGGAGTACTAATAGGTGCGAAAAACAGATTCACATATGTCTTTTGACTACTTCTATGTAGAAGTAGCACTAGGTTCAATAGATAAGACAACAGCAGAAGAGGTTAGAGCACAATGTGCATTAACCCTAAAAAATCAAATGAAGGGTCTTCTGACTACCTCTAAAAGTCTAGCACTTATTGTAGCACGCTTTCAAGATTAGCACACGAGTTGTAAGAAGATATTTTTGACCATCGACTAACTAAAAGTAACATAATCGTCAACTTCAGGACTGCCAATCATAAGCTGATGTCTTCGGAAACCAAGTATTGTATTATCATTATTATTATTGTATCCTTCAATTCCTACAGGAACATAGGGCTTCAGCCGTGCATCTCCATTGCGTTCGGTTCTCTGCTAGAGTCTTCACCTGGCTCCATGTATGCCCACACGTTTTCATCTCCTCTTCACATGACCTCCTCCAAGTCACCCTTGCACTGACGACCAACTCGCCGTTTCCCGTTCGAGATCCACTCGAGCAATGGCTTGTCTAGTGATGTCACTTGATGGATGGTTTCCTCCATTTCTTCCTGCCTATTTGTTTCACAATCGGTTCCTGCTGGGTTGGTTCGCTCCCAGAGAGCTGTTGCTGATCTTTTCTGGCCGGCCATCTGATCTTGAGTATTGAACGAAGACAACTGGTAATGAAGGTCTGTAGTTTGTTTGAGATGCTCTTTATGACGCGCAGTGCAAGTCTCTGATCCGTATAGTGAGTAGCACTGACTGACTTCACAGTGAAGTTGAAAATCCGGATCTTATTTTTGATGCTGAGTGTTGTTGACCTCCACACAGACTTGAGAGTAGTGAGAGCTTGTCTTGCTTTTCCGATTCTTGCTTTGATGTCCTCGTCAGTTCCGCCTGTAACTGAAACGATGCTTCTCAGGTAGGTAAAAGAGGTTGTTTCTTTCAGGTTCCTCCCATTTATGCTGGTCGTTGTCTGTTGTTGTTGTTCTTGTCCAGGAACCTTGATCACCTCTGTCTTCTCTATGTTCACCTGAAGTCCTATCTTCTCTGGATGCTTCTTCTGCCAACTTGTTGCTTTTCGCTTGCATATCTTCCAGTTTGTGGGAAATCAGACATATATCATCGGCGAAGTCCAGATCCTCCAAGTTTTTTGTGTGAGTCCATTTTATGCCTGTTTCCTCATTGCCCGCCGCTGTTTGTCGCATTATCCAGTCTCCCGTAATCAGGAAAATCATTGGCGATAGTAGGCAGCCTTGTTTTACTCCTGTCCTCACTTCGAAGGGTTCCGTAAGTTTCCCATTGTGGATTACTTGGCATGCAGCATTGTCGTACAACTGTTGGATGAGATGTATAATTGTCGGTGGCACCCCGTAGTAGCGAAGTAGTATTGCATTACATGTAATAATTGAATGTTATATACTGTATACATTTTTATATCTAATGAGTTGGCTTATAACTATTTACATACATCAGTACTATAATTATTATTGCTATTTCGGTAGCTTGCTTAAATCACTGGGCTACCTAAATTTCCACCAAGCATAATGCAGAAACCCTTCTCCGTTTCTTATTGTTTAAATCATCCATTTATGTGCTTCTAATGTCGCATGACCTCGAGCGCATTTTGAATTAGCTTTCAACGTAATGCCTTACATTTCTCGACGGATATGAAAGAAAAATATCGTATAGGATTGGATCTTGCTGCAGATGAAGTGACAAAGCGTCATGTGATATACTATCGGTTACTATTTCACTGGAGGGTCATGCACCAAGAGGGGGTACTTCTCAGTTAAATACTCTGAGTACTGTGTTTTCAAATATTAGGCGGGATATGGCCACTGTTCGTATTATTTACTTTGAAATATATCATGAAGTTTGCTACTAATCAAACTAAAGGGAGTTTAGAAAGTAAAATTCACTAGTTCCTTCGCTTCTCTTAATTTGAAAAAGTTAGAACGGGGAAGTTTACACGAAATTATGTACAATTGACCTATTCTCTGACCGTTTATAAGAAAAAGTACCTGTCATACGTGTTACAAAAGACTACCTAAATGAATTCATCACCCCATAGTGTAGACACTGGTCAGAACTGAAAATAAAGTAGCCTAAACAGGTGATAATATTTACGTATGTATGTATTTTTGTATATGGCAAACTAAAAACAAAACATTTCTGAAAAGTTAAACGGAAGCGTAAACTATAATATTTTAGACTTTCCACCAACTGACGTCACTAGATACGTCAGTATGACAAAAACGTTAACAGACTTCCACTATTGCAAACAAGAAGTGTTGAAAAATCATATGAAAACTTATGAATAGATGGCGAAATAAACCGGAAGCGAAAATGAATACAACGCAAAAACACACACACACAAATCCGATTTGGAATTGCAAAACTACATAACTGAAGTTGTAGGCGTGAATGCTGTCGAGGTGTTGAAGGTTATGAACAGCAGCATTCATTAGAAGACAAATGTCACTTGGGAATCTCTGAATTACACTGGTTTTTAAGGAGCACTGGGATGTATACTTTGCCATTTTACTTTACTTACCACGGGGAAATTTTAACAAGTTGATGGATTATTATGAAATTTTTTGAACACAAGGGATTTGTCACCAATTCATGAACAGCTTTGTCCTATAAAATCCTCAAGTCATTGCACCTCTGAATCTCATCTATTCATAAAAATGAGACTGGTTAGATGGCTAAAAAAATGTCAAGACGTGTACACTTTTTGTTTTTTTCCAGGTAGTTAATTGACCGTTGGGGACTACTTTAAAGCTTGACGATTGTGTTTACCTGCTGTTTCGCAATTAATCAATTTTATTAGTTTTACCGATCATTTAAATTGTGTATTCATAAAGGGGTGAACTGGATGACCAGAGAGTACAGATATCGTTTGTATTTCGTAATTATCTAAATAAAGTAAATTTTTCAAAATTGTAGATCTGTTTCAGTAACGTGTTTGTTCATATAATTCATAGTATTGGTCAGTGTGTATTTGTGTCAAAAGGTTTTAGAGTTATAAGTAAAAACTAAATTACCCTCCTGTTAAGTGAGGTGGGTAAGTCAACGGATGCGGTTGTGAAACCACATTGATTAAGATAGCTGAAACACGTGCCGTACAGATTGAACCATCTATTTCCCCAACAGGAAATGTTAGCTGACATAAGATTAGGTTGGGAAGGAATGAAAAGGGGTTGAACCAAAATTTAGCGTCCATCCAGGAAGTCTTTGGCATTTGGTTTAAGCCAGTCCCTTGGGGAGGTGTATACTGCCTGGTTTGGTCCTTGGGATGCTAAGAATCAATGACTACTGACTATTAGTAATGGGGCTCAAAATCGTTCTGAATGGAACAGGCGCATTCACTCTTTGTAACCTCCCAAATCCACTGAACCGTTATGTTTTCCATATTAATGTTCTTCCTCACTTACATTTCTGCTTATTATAGTTTTTGTGAATTTCTGTTTTCCTCTTTTTTGTATAAATTTGTGTGCTACACGGAGTGTGGCAGCTTTAGCCGTTACATTTCTGTGCAAAGTCCTATCTTGAAACTCAGTCAGTCACACAAGAATAAAAATGAGAAACCCTAAATGAAGATTTTTCTCTTCAAATGAATTCTCTGTTTTTAACTCTTATTGTATCATTGACTTTAATATCCATAACTTCAACTACACTGTTTGTCAATTCTATGTCCAATTTGCAGGTTTCATTCATTTTCCTTTTCGGTTTACTTCGAAAATCACTTGTTTGTAAATCTCTTGACCTTCCAGTGTGCATGTATATTACTCACTGGCGTACATTGTAACAGATTTCCATCCGTTCTTAGTTTTCATTTCATATTGTAAATAATTTGATTGTTTTTTGCTCCTATGAACGAATTGTCGTCAGATTTATTTAGCAAAATGGATAATGAGTTATCTGGCTCGTACATGTTTGTGAATGATTCGATGAACAAAGAATCGGTGGTTAACTGCTTTTCCTGCCTAATTATACTACTTAAAAAAATAAATTTTTATACTATTCCACCCTATTGCGCGAGTAACAGCAAGTGAACGTATCACACTGACCTCAATATATTAGTTCAGGGTTAGTTAGATGATTGTAACACACCAATTTAGCTAGAACTAGAATGACTGACCAAACTAAATTAAGTAATATTGAATTAGACTAAGTTATTGCAATGTTTTCACCTTCATTTATTCACAATACACGGTGAAGTAGGGTAAAAGTAATAAAACTGGGTGGAGCAAAAGGTTAATCACTGAATCTCTTCTGTTCGTCAAATCAACAACTAACATTCGCTAGCGGAATAACGCAACACCTATCTATGATATATGAAAAATTATGATGAAAAACATAACGGGGGCATGTTTTCCTGAACATAAACGCAACTGATTCATTGAGATGAGTGGCTGTATACCACTCATGTCAACTGATAATTTGTAAATTGTGAATTCTACTTATGGTATCACTAGTTCGCCGAAGTAGCTAGCTAGAAATCTAGTGGTTTCAACCGACTCAGCTCTCTGAGGTAAGTGGAACAGCGTACACCGCTGATGAACTCGGCCCCAGACGAACGAAATGACCATCTGGTGTTTAGATTACTTCGTCGATATGGCCAGCAAACACTACTTGTTGATGCAAGTGAGTGGTACATGACTACTTGTCTGAATCAATCAGTAGTATATATTTTTAAGCGATTATACTTGCTTTATTGATTACCTTCTCTAATAAAGCAAGTTATCAAGTTATACGAATACACTGATATAGTTAGGAGGAGTGAAATGTACTGCAGGCATCAGTCAATTATTAACACTGTACAACTGTCTGCTATAGCAAATAAATTTATTTCACATGGGACTGCATTCTAAAATGGTGCTCAAATTCTATGTGTACGCTAATGCATGTGTTTCTGGAGGTTGAGTATTTACACTGAGTGAAATACTACTACTATTTGCACACCTAATGCTTTTTTTCATTCATTCACATACCGAATATTCATGTGAACTGATTCATAGAAAAGTAATCATTTTTAGCGTTAAGAAATTAGAAAATAACCTAATTACCTCTATAATGCAAGCAGATATCTTCAAGATTTAAAGTATATTGATAACATAAGATCAGAGGTTTTGTCTTGGTGCTTAAACCCACTTAAATTCTCAAAACTAAGTTTATACCATAGTGCGTCATTGTCATATTGATTGAATAATATTTTAATAAAACTATGTAAGATTTTATTAGCATATATGCAAACAATTTCGTCTTGGTTCCTGTCGTCTGAAAACTCGTACAAGTTTGTAGATATATGGGGCATATGTTATCCTTCTCGAGCCTCTTCACTTGCTTTTACCTGTATCTCCAATGAATGAAAGTGTTCCTACTGTGAACTACACCAGTCGCTAGTGAGCATTATACTAATTTTAAAGTTGAGTGTTTGGTCCCCACCTTTCCAAGAAGTCATAAATGAGTGCTGATGAAGAGTCCCAAACTGGAACGAAACAGCTATCCAGTACTCCTTGGCTTTTAATAGTTATTTTTCTGATGTCAGATGGTTGTCAAATTCAAAGTCAGTCGAATCCCTAAAAAATTAACACTTAAAAACTAATCTGATGCTCATTATTAACTCAATATTTTTTTTTATTCCTTCACGTTCCCCAGTGGAACATAGGGCTCCAAGCTAGAGGCTTGAAGATTCTGTAGCAGTGGTGACTATTTTTACAGGATGGGGTTGCTAGCCTCATGCCCAACCTTTCCTCTTCATCAGCTTTATTACTGGCTTAGTGAGGTAAAGGAGTGCGCCGGCCGAGGATCGAACCCCGGACCATGTGCATGGTCAGCGAGAGTCCTAACCACTATGTCACCGACGCTCATTAACTCAATATAGAACGACCTTACTTGGAATTCTAGTTAGAATTCATGACCACTGTGGTTCACCAGAGTATGTGGGGCAATTACTCACTTAAGACACTACCGGTGGCACTGTATGTCGCGAACTGATAGAATCAGTATTCATGGGCCATTTGATTTCACCTCGGTGGCTGAATGGTCGCCAAGCATGTCTCGTTACCTGAAAGTCATCGGTTATATCCTTGGTGGGGTCATGGGTACCTACTAGGGAGAAGTCCAACACAGAGGCGAAACAGCCGTCAAGTACTCCCTGGTTTTTGATGGCTCTCTGACTAATTAATATCAACCCGTATTAGAACTTGGAAACACCAGTCGACTGAAGCTAACATATGACTTGAAGGAATATGAGCTAGTGTCACCAAATAAATCATAGAATCAAGTGCACCTAGTACATCTGAAATTTCATTGAAATTACTGCATGACATATCATAAACAGCTCTCTATCAGTCTATCATACAATGTTTATTTAGATATATACAAACAGATTCAAATATAAATGAAAAGTCAATAAAATTTATTTACCTTTGCATAGCCTCTAGGGGTAAGTGTTGATGGTATACCAAGATTGAATTGCACTCGCTTCTCATTTACTACTGGATGTAGAACTTTCACTGTCAGTAATAACAAACAGAAAGAAGAACATACATATCTAAATATATATATATATTGTTGATGGTCAATAAAATAAATGACTTACAGAAATGCCTTTCGTTGAAAAGTTCTGACTTATGTAGTCGTTAATGAATGAACGGTTAATAACATCAAATACAGAGTTCTTCAGAGTTAATCAGTACTGTGGTGTAATATAGATGATCGATTGAGAAATATGAAGCTACATCACTATAACTTAAAAAGGTACATTATTTTACATTTTTGTTCTGCTTAAGTATTAGATTAAAGGGTTTAGAATTTTAGTGGTGAAAAAAACAGGTTAAAACTGACGAGAGAAGTTTCGATAAAGTAAGAAAGACCAAATGATTTAAACTGAACAATTAATTTCACCGAAAAAATTGTAGGCATTCCGATAGGTTCATATCTGGAACCAATTCTGGTTGAAATCTTCATGGGTTATCTTGAAAGGACGCAAATGAGTTCTGCCATCGCCGATATATTGATGACACGTTTGTTGTTTGCAATGATAGGAATCCCGCATATTTATTATTTGACCGTCTCAATAAGATCCACCCTTAAATTAAATTCGCCATGGAATATGAACATAACGCTTAGTTCATTTTCCTGGATCCTAATGGAAGATAAAGAAACGATGTTAAGATAGGAAGGTCCATCTATAGTAAAGAAGCCTGGACGTGGCAATATCTTCACTGTAACATATTCTGTCCTACAACCTATAAGCGTGGAATAGTGAAGAAACTGTACCGCACAGCCAGGAAGTTATGTTCACTCAACAATCTGGAAGAAGAATTAGTCTCTGATGAGAAATGCCTAAGGGAAAATTGGTATCCAAAGGGATTTATCCTAAGGTATAGCAAAGAAAACAGGTTCAAATTTGGTCTTTCTTGCTTTATCAACGTTTATCAATGGAAACAAGTGTACAGAAGGAATTCCCTGAAAATCAAATTGCATAGTAAATAAGTAAAACCTACGAAGCAATGAACAGTTCTTTCGTCCAGAGTTAAGTAATCTTCAGTGATCTCAAGCGTGAAGATGCAACCAGAACCTGGACTATCTAGTTTACTTTACGAGGGCATTATAATTCAGCAACTGGGCTGAAGTCTAACCGTCTACCAGTCCTTACCTCAGCCAACTCTCCATACACTACTAGCAACAGTCAGTGTCATAGGTGAAGAAATCTACTCAAAAGTCAGTCGTCAATGAGAAGTAGACCAATTCAATCCAATCTAACAGGGTGCAAAAGAGACTTCAAATGGAATCTTTGTATATTGAATTGATATGCGATATATGGATTGGAAAAGACTAAATAAATTCCCCTGGTATTTACAAGATTCTACTACATGATAAATGAAGAATAAGAACCAAGAATACTAAAAACTAGGTCTAAAATGTGTACAGCGAAATCTGATATGTGATTATAAACAGCCAGCCAACTGTGTACTGATCGTTATCCACTGAATAATAATACTGTTTTATTATACAAGATATACCTAATAAATGAAATAATATGAAATCAAATTCACCTATCCTCAAATATTTTCTGAATTTACTAAATGAAGTAAGTGAAGATGAATATCTGCCAGTATTAATTGCTAGATGGTAGACAGGATAACTACTCACTTCTATGTGCTGATTAAAATCCACTGATCAGGTGTAGAATTGAAGTCAAAAAAGTGAATGGCACGATAATACAGGTACCCCTTTCTTCAGAATAAAATAACAATTACTTCCTATAAACCAACATTCGAAAATCAATCTGCTGCTTACAAGTGATTCACCCTAGAATTAAGGGCCTAGAATTTAGGTGACTAGTTGTGACTAGTAGAGTCTACCAGGTAAGGCGTGAGGACAGTTACTCACCTATAACACCAGCTGTGTCGTTATATCTGGAGCATTGGTAGAGGTTAGAATTCATGGGCCGTTGAATTCCGTCTCTATGCCTGAGTGATTGACCGGATTGCCTCACAACCTGAAGACCCTGTGTACGATGCCTGGTGGGGTCATGGATATAAAGAGTCTCAAACGAAGTACGAAACGTCTGTCCAGTATCCTGCAGTTTTCAGCGGTGTCTCAACTTCTGTTAGTTTGTGACGAAGACTGAAATCAATTAAATCCGTGCAACCTGCTGGAAATGCCTCCTCTCGGTCTTGCTGATCAGATGACTAGTAGGGAAGATTAAGCAACAAGAGATTCTAAAGACAAACCAGCTGAGAACCTATTGCTAAACAAATATGCAGAAGGAAATGGCGGTGGACTAGAAATGTGCTGGGAAGATCTTTAAGTGATATCTCACACTACGTCTCCGAGTGTAACCCGAACAGGAGACAATACTGTGTGTAACTCCGTGAGTGACATGGAGGATATGGCGTAAAGAGGAAATGAAAGTTTTGTGGGCAATCTTGAAGCCAGTTAAAAGGGAAACAGAGATGAGTTCTACTCAGAATCGAAGGGCAGTATAATATAATCATTAATAAATCAACACTTGGAAATATCGGCAATAATCTATTTATGGATCTCGTAGATGTCTTGATTTGACAATAAGTGACTTAATATCAAAATTCCAATGGGTACATTAGTCTTTTGAAGGTTGTCATACTAATAGGATTTTCTATGGATAGTAGATAAGCCTACGAAACAGTAGTAATAGTAATCGACTAAACGACTGCATCACTGACACCATACCTAAAGTATACGGGAATATAACGCAAATGTCTTGCTGTGATTATCGATTAGCAAAATTTGTTTCACTTCTGTTTCTAGTTGAATGATCCTGTTTAATGCTGCAGATATTTCCTATCTATATATTTTTTTAAGAGAAATATTGATTGCAGATCAACATTTTGCAAAAGGAATAAAGGATTTCCGCGTAGTTACATTTCATGGAAGAGAATGTAAACCACTATTAAACGTAACCCCAATAAACTAATTTCATTAGATACGTGTGTAAATAACTTTTTGAAACTGCTTACAGTAATTCTGTGGAATGCCAGTACTTTCTTCATCGGATTCACTACTATTCTTTTTACGTCTATTATGCGATTTGGAACGGCCAACCTGAAAATGAAATAGAAAAGTAGAAAATGAAGGAAAAAGGAATATTGACTGATGGTTTCACAACATTTTAAACTCAGACAGTATGATGTCTCATGTTTCCAACTGTGTGGTGTAACGTATTCATATTCGGCTCACTACAGAACAATTCTAGTTATGACTGAAATGACACTCATAAAATATTGATGCGTCGACATAACACAACGCAAGGCTTTGGAGATTAAGCTGGTCTGTGATCACACCTATATGAGACTGAGACTTTTCAACCCACATTTTTAAGAATAAGGATTCTAAGGCATTTGCCGGTGGAACAGATTATAGTTCAGGTAGGCACAAAAGACAATTTTTGTCAAAAAGACTCCAACCGAAAGTGCAGGGTATATCTATCTATCTATCTATCTATCTATCTATCTATCTATCTATCTATCTATCTATCTATCTATCTATCTATCTATCTATCTATCTATCTATCTATCTATCTATCTATCTATCTATCTATCTATCTATCTATCTATCTATCTATCTATTTATCTATCTATCTATCTATCTATCTATCTATCTATCTATCTATCTATCTATTTATCTATCTATCTATCTATCTATTTATCTATCTATTTATCTATCTATTTATCTATCTGTTTACCTATCTATCTATCTATCTATCTATCTATCTATCTATCTATCTATCTATCTATCTATCTATCTATCTATCTATCTATCTATCTATCTATCTATCTATCTATCTATCTATCTATCTATCTATCTATCTATCTATCTATCTATCGTCCTTATTCATTTGATGCACATAGATTCAGTGATAAACAGCTATTTCTGCTTATCTTATACAGTTGCGGCTCTGTTTTATTCGATTGTGTGTCGCTGCATCGCAGCTCGTGGAATTTATCTGCGTTCACCACTGCACTGAGGTGTATTCATCCCCTTCTGACAACTATACTGATCTCCACCGACTTGGTGTGCCCTGTGAATTACTGAATAGTATTTGATGGGCTTAGAACAATATTTATTTCAGTTTCAATTAGACTGTTTGAGGATGTCTATGCGTTAATAAAAACAGTGCACTGTGACAAGAAGCAAATATCTATAAATACTGCACTAGTAGTTTTTGTTTAATAGAGTCTGACATAAGTTTCAGGATCCAGACACATCCAGTTTAAGAAGAACTTATATGTCTCCTAAGTTTCATTTCCACCTAATAATCAACCGTCTCAACGTGTAATGATACTCCGGCACAAATAGTATGAATCCTGAAGTAACACTTATAATAGTAATAATAATAATAATAGTAATTAGGATGACCTGCAATATTACTGGATGAAAAGACAAGTTTATCGTACTTATATTACACCACTTACTTTGATCAACATTTCTTCATCAACCTTAAGGGTGAGAGGGCAGTAAAAACCGTTAATTTAGTATATATTTAAATAAAAAATTCTTTCGTGAAAAGAATTGTAGTCCAAGACAATTCCATGACATCATAACAACAATATTATGATTATGACTTGAGAAGCGATTATACTGGGTTGAAATTGATCGCAAGTCTCGTCAAGTGTTTAAAATAAGTGAAAGGTTGTATATCAAAATCAAGGTGCCGATAAATTCAACCTTCACTGTATATAGGTAGTTCAGATACCTAGAATGTTGTACTTTGATGTATGATTTATCGTAAATAAACGGCTTTCAATACACCAGTATTGTTTCGCATCTCTAATATGAAACAGTTCGCATTCTTTTTCTTTCTACAGACAATTCTTAATGATATGCCTACTTTTTTTTCTAAAGCCTTCATTCCTATTATATTTGCCTTACTTTCGGCAGTTTATTTCATCTCTTTCTAATGGATATGCTCTAAATATATGCTTAGCACAATGTTTATGACATTATATATATATATATAACTGGGAGATAGCTGATAGTACAAAGCATATCGTTAGGTTATCCAGGTATATTAGAGTCAATGTCCATATTTGTTATTCGAACGATATTACAACCTACCGTCTATTAATGTCAACTAACTAATGCTATATGTGAGAATTAGTTGCAACAATAGTATTGACAACTGCGATATTAAATACTAACAAGGAAATTATTTAATAACACATCACAGTCGATGACTACATTTCATTGTTTTCATTATCAATGATAAATCATATGCATATTTATTCACGTCACAGTTAATCTAGAGCACTAAGAGTAATACTGTTTTGTGTCTAATAGACATTTCGAATAAATAAAATCCTCTCTTTCCCCTTACTGTAATCACAGTTATTTCCAGTAAATAAGTTTTAAGTTGCAGAAAAGATCGGTGGCTCATGGTGGATGGAATCATTGTTCTTATTGGTTTTTATCCTTCTCTATCCATCTAGGCAATAGCTTTAGAGAAAACTTTAAAGCCGCATCTAGAAGGGCAATAAAAGAATCCTTATCAAACCATTTGGTTTGAAAAACATAATACCACTAAAAACAAACATTTTATTCAGTCTGTGAATTTTATTTCTAAGTGAATTAATCAATCTAAATATCAATCTTAGAATTCCAAGATTGGTCATGAACTGACTTCAGTTACAGAACTACTGAAAACCAACAAAGAGTACTGGATAGTTGTTTCGTCACCGTCTGGGTCTCTTCATCACTATGCACTCATAAACCTACTGGAGTTTGAACCCAAGACCTTCAGCTTACAGTTATATCCTTGAAAACCAACAGTTGAGAACTAATCTAGCGTTCACCAGTGACTAATTACAGGATGAACTGGCCTGAAGTCGTAACCAGTGGGATCTAGCAAATTAAGTGTGAGAATAATCGCCAATGATATTGGCTGGCGGTTGCGTTATATCGCGGACTGGCGGAAGCCAGATTTGACAGGCTGGCCATAAAGTTGAGTCCAGGTGGCTGAATAGCCTATCACCTCGTCTTGTAACTTATTTCATTTTCCAAGTGAAGATTTGAATCTAGGGTGTATGTGTTTCGCCGTATGTGTACACCAATTTGCCAATAAACAATTCTGCTTTTCCACTTTTAGCTTTCTGATTTATCTTTCAAATTTCAAAGGCATCATATTTATAAAATATGTTGCGAGAAGTTTTTTTAGTGTCAGTGTGCATTATGAAAGGCGTAATTTGAACAAAAAGTGATTGATTATCAATGAATTTTACCTTGTGACTTTAAAGAATTCCTATTATGAATACCATACACGTAAACTTGTGGCTTTCATAATTATTTTATGTTTCATAAACATATAACCAAAAGACAAATATGGCAACCAACGTAGTTGAAGTCAGTGGTATTTCACTTTCGATTTCATCACAACAACGCCGAACAGTTACAAACTAGGATGAAACAAGTGTACGTCATTCTACGTGTCTTGGCGATTCCTTAAATATCAGTTTATGAAGAAGAGTAATCTATGAACAGAGATACTGAAACGTCACACGAAATAAGTAGAAGCCTTGAAAATTATGACGTGGGAGTAGATTTTCGCACAACGAACATCTTACTCGCGCCGTCGGTAAATATTGGGGATATAACAGAAGACAGCCAATAAAATTGCATGTGAGAAGCAAAATATGAGGACTGTGATACTGTATACTTTGGAGGACCTTCCAGTCAAGTGAATATAAGAACACAGAATGCCTAAATGCGGTTCCGGAAACCTCAGAGGATTTGGAGAAACTAGGAAATAAATCATTGGTTGCACCATACTTGATGGAATTGGGACACAAGATGGATTTTGATAGGGTCAATGTTCTACAGAAAGATTTTGGTTCAGGTAAATAAAGACTGATTGCAGAGGCCATACATATATGAGGAAATACCAATAATTTGAACAAGCGTGAAGATGTGATGTTAGCAGATGCACGATAAGTTACTATTAATAAATAAAGTGGATATGTATCACTAATTTCTCATGCTTTATCTGTTTTTCCCAGGTATGTCTTCTTATGGAAATGCTAGCAAATGATGTACAACCGTTTGAAAAGAAATATGAATCCTTCCACTTTTATTAAAATATTTGACAGAATTCTTAACATGCAAAAATAAGTAAAGTTGTTATGTAGATCTAATTTTTCGAATAAATTACGTTTATCTTTACAATTTCTCAAGTCCATTTTAGGCATATATTTCATAAATTTGTTCCCCTTAATGAATTGGATTAAAGCAAGAACATCTGGTTTTGCAGAATAAAATAGTACCGTCATTTATTTCGTTGGCTTCTCATCAGCTCAGCTGATTACAGGCCAAAGTTATGATTAAATATATCTACAGGAACAATTTTAACATACTTGAACAGAGTTCATTTTAAACAAAAATCAATTAATCAATATATGCATACGACAATATATATAACAAACTTTTTATCCCGAAAAATAATGATCGTACACAATGGGAACTTCCCGCATTACGTAATTAGATGGAAGATGGGGTGAAAATATTCAGTAACTGGGGCAAGGAAAGACTGATAACCGCTTCTTTCTGAACGCATAACTCCGGTTTCAGGTACTTGTTGGAGATTGCTTCGGCAAACTTAAGGAGAGTTGAACTCTTTTGTCTACTGATAATTTTGAACGATCTTGCAAAGTCCACCTCATGACCCGTGTCGAAGAGGTGCCTGGCGATGGCACTGTTTAAAGCATTTGTCCCCTTTAGATATAGACTTTTTGGTACATGTTCAGAAAATTGGAGGTACGTCCTTCTTTCTGTTCTTCCAGTATAACTGCTACCACAGATACATGTAAATTTGTCTATACAGTTGGAGTTAACATGAGAAGGATTTCTATCGATTTTTGATTGCACTAACGAGCAAGTTGTTCGATAGACGGAAATTAACTTAACTGCAGGATTGGCTCTGGCTAGTGATGTACTCAGTCTTCTGTTGACAACTGCTGTAATATGAGGTGGACATCGCAAGATCGTTCAAAATTATCAGTAGACAAAAGAGTTCAACTCTCCTTAAGTTTACCAAAGCAATCTTCAACAAGCGCCTGAAACTGGAGTTATGCGTTCAGAAAGAAGCGGTTATCAGTCTTTCCTTGCCCCAGTTACTGAATATTTTCACCCCATCTTCCATCTAATTACGTAATGCGGGAAGTTCCCATTGTGTACGATCATTATTTTTCAGGATGAAGAGTTTATTATATACATATTATTGTATGTATATATTGATCAATTGATTTTTTGTTTAAAATGAACTCTGTTCAAGTATGTTAAAATTGTTTCTGTAGATATATTGAATCATGACTTTTGCCTGTAAGCAGCAGAGCTGGTGAGAAGCCAACGAAATACATTATGGTACCATTTTATTCTGCAAAAACAGATGTTCTTGCTTTATTCTAAAACATGTATGCATACACAACTTCTGTCAACCCTTTTCCCTACTGATTCAAGTCAGTAGGAGCTCTCTAAATCAATGGTCTGTCTTCTTACTTAGCGGGTTTGGTGGTATCGTATCGTGTCGATGTTGTTATTGTTGCTAAATTGAATCTTAATTAACAGACGTAGCTATAAAAATAATTTAATAACGCTACGACTTAACATGATAAGAAAATGCTGCCAAAACTCAAGCTGACGGACTGAGGCATTTTTGTGTAGGAATCATATGATCATATGCAGATCACTAATCCTGAGTTTTTGCTACATAGTTGAATGTCTCATTGAGAAAGAAGACAAGAAATTACCATCATTACATTTTGTATATCATGTGAATCTGTCATATTTCATGTCTCAAATTTCTTTTGCTTGTTCTTCTACACAAGAGAATAAGTATATTTTGGTTTATTCAAAAAGTAAATACCTAAGGAACTATTTTTAATGTGAGCTAATTTATAATATAGAACTATCAGAACTAATAGATTATCCTGTCGCATAAACTGTCATTGTCACATTCACACGCAAAATTGATGTACAAAGTTTTTGAGTGCTACTCACAGCCTACGCGTTTTATGCTTCAAAAGTTAAGATGCAACTTCCTTAGGTTTATATCAACCTAAAGAAGTAAACATATTCTAATTCTTGGTGCTGCTGACTGAATCCCGCCAGTCAGGTTCACAATTCTGTCAGTAAGCTAGGTTACTTGTCATCACAGTGAATGTTAAATTGTTGTTACATCACTTCAAGTAGTCGAAAAGGAACTTTCGGTCCAGGTTTCGAGCTCGTAAGCAAGTCGAACCTGTAATCTCAAAGGAAGCAATATGATCTTAAAGATTTGAGTCTGTATCATCCAGTGCTACTGTCACAGACGTAACCAATGACTAATCAACGTTCAATATGTTTTTCATAAAATAACTTGCAAGTTCATAAATAGAAAGTATCACTGACAGTCACCGCCGAATTTCTAAACTGGTGTTCTAGTCTGCTAGGATAATCC